GAATGCATGCTTAAACTCTGATCATGCTCTATTACGAGTACGCATTTGCTTGCGCCTCACTGGACGCAGAAAAACTACGTTAAGAAGACCTATTAAAATTGAACTGAGTGAAGAGGATCCAAAAGTGGATTCCAGGAACAACCGAGGTCGCACTTGGGCATTTCTGAAAACGAAGCTGAATCAGATGTTGCTTGAAATGACACACAAACAACTGTGGAAAAAGCGATGACATCTTTTAGTGATTTGAACCAAAAGGTCAAAAAACCAATGAATTTCTTCTAAGTCTATTTCATTGATAGATCCCCGTAAAATCATCCTGTCTGACTCCAAATACAATGAAGAACAAAAACATCTCAGATCTAGGTTGACCAAAAGTCTAAGGAACGACTGTGAGCAGTTGTGAGCAACGAAAGCAAAGCGGATGGAGAAAGCAGCGGCTGCAGGTATAACCAGACAGCTTTTCAGACCAATAAAAGAAACTGCGATTAAGAAGTCATGTGCAAGTGAGACGATCACAGAAAAGACGACACTCTTACCTGCTTTCAACCAGGACGCTTAGAACTATGAGCGGAACAACTTAAGAAGCAGTTCAGATGGCCTTCAGCTACTTCACAACTACCCATCATTCCCAGACAGTCTGAATGGAACAGCGAAGAACCCCCCAAAAAACTCTAATCGAAGTTCAAAAAGCTATAGCTAATCTGAAACAAGGAAGATCAGCTTGTCCAGATGGATGGTGATCCAGTTCTAGCGATTAAATCTGACTAATATTTTAGCTAAAATCTGGGGATTGGACGTAATTCCATCTGACTGGTCACAATCACTGATTGTCCCAATATATACGAAGGAGTCAAAGTCATCCTGTAATGACCAAAGGGATTAGTTTGGCTAATATAGCATTTAAAATACTAGCCTCAATAATTATCAGGCGCCTAACAATGGCTCGTGAACTGCAAACACGAGAAAATCAGGCTGGCTACAACTTGGTCGTTAATGCATCGACCACATATTCACCATTCGTCATATTTTAGAACACAGGCATGTTTATCGGCGTCCGACAATGGTGGCCTCCTTTGACTTAAAATCAACATTTGATTCTGTAGACCGAGGGATTCTGTGTCAGTGTCTGTCATTGAAAGGCGCACCTCAGAAGTACATAAGCCTTGTGAAAGCTCTTTACTCGAGCACTACCAGTCGAATCAGAGCATACGGCTAACTGTCATCTGCTTTTACAGCTTCGAGTGGCGTCCGACAAGGCTGTTCACTATTTCTGTTTAATTTCATTATAGACCTACTGCTGGAGATAACTATCTCGTTGTCTAAATTTCCAGGAATTGATCACATACCAGGAGGTTTACTTATCGACTTAGAATACGCAGACGATATAGTCCTGCCTAGTGAAGACGCTGATAAAATGCAGTCTTTTGGTAGCGCTGGGCAACAATGCCAGAATGTTTGTGATGCTCTCCTCCTCCTCTAAATGCAAGTTGTTGCTTCAGGACTGGTCTGCGTCAACACCTGAACTAAGGATAGGGAGCGAAGTAGTTGAACACGTCGACAACCTCACTAAACTTGGGAGTCTGATCAGCACTAATGGGCTGGTGTCTGACGAAATCTCAGCACAGATTCAGAAAGCTCGTTTATCTTTTGCTAACTTACGTCACCTATGGCGAGGGTGATATATCCGTCTGTCAATTGAAGGACGATTACAATGTGCGTCAGTTCATTCTGTTCTACTTTACGGCTGTGAAACGTGGCCATTAAGAGTTGAAGATATTCGTAAGTTACTAGTATTTGATCACAGATGCCTTATAAATATTGCTCTCATCTTTCGGTATCAGTGGGTAAGTAGTAGTGAGGTTAGACATGTGGTGGACCAGAAAAATATGATGGTAGATCAGTTGATGAGGTTGTGAATCTCCATCAACTGAGGTGGTTGGGCCACGTGTTGTGTATGCCTGAACACCGATCACTACGACGCGTAATGCTGACTAGTGTTGGAGACGGTTGGAAGGAAGTTAGAGGTGGCCAAACCACAATGTGGCATCAGTGTTTGAAGTCACTAATATCTGGTCTGAGCCATGTTTGCAGATGCAGACTACTTGGTTGGGGTCCGCGCGACTATCATTACCAGTGGTTGGAAACTGGGCGACATGTCTCAGAATCGATCACAATGGCGTTGGTGCATGCACTCTTTGTCTGCCCTTAAACCGTAAGATTAAAATTGCCTTGTTTTTTTCTACGAACTAGTTCTTTCTTCCTTTATTATATCCTTATATGTAATCTTTCTTTTACATATTACTACCATTGAAGTAACTACTATGAATTTGGTGTTCATCTTGGTGTGTTAATTAGGTGTGGCAACTTGGACCAATGCATATATGTGCCCGGTCTTACGTTGTGGCTGAATCACTGACTGAAAGCTCATGACAAGAGTATTAACGAACCAACAAATATGTCTCATGCAACCGTCTTCTAGACCATGGATTCTCTGATTGAACTGACAAACTATTCCCTTTTACCAGTTTGTTTAAGCATCAAAAAATTATCTGAAGTACGAAGGCAGATAAACTCGAATTTCCAAAACTCATCGATGTTACCTAAAAAGATGATTTAGGATACTGATGAAAGAAGTTTCCTCATTTTGTTCAAACACACATTTTCGGGCTCCGACCTTACAAAAAGGATAATGCTGCCAGATGTGATGCATCCATCCATCTATCCATTGGGGATATACGTGATCAGCAGAAATGGTGATATAAAATGTTCAGCCGAAAGCGGCCTGAGTCTGGAACCAAAGACTAGCATTACTCTCATCAAAGAGTTGTAAATTTTACCTTTTGAAGCACTCTCAGAGCGCTCTCAATCGTCATTAGCACCTCTGATATCTAATTAAACATAAACTGACTTTATCTACTACGTCACTAGCAGAACGTAAACAGCCACTCAGACACATGAAAAAAATTGGCTACTTCTTATAGTTTCTCCATAGGAAGAGTGCAGATATATTCTTGAGTGAGAGAATGCATTTGAAAATAGATAATTCAAAACACAATTACCAATTTGTATAGTGTAAACGACAAAAACCTTATGGACGAAATTCCCAAGAAACAGAAAAAGGTGTTAAATGCATAATAAACATTGACTACAATTTACACCAAATGTTTGGTAGGAGTACCCCAGAAGGTCTTGTTGCCAAACACCCTGCAAATGGAAGGTTTCATAAACACCGGTTGAGATGTCTCTTTTCAACAACCCGTATATCTCATCTTTCATAGGCTTACTTCAGTAGAGTTCAGTACTTTTGAAAGAGCTGGCAGCTTATTTTACACTGATAATTGTCAAGAAAGTTTTGTAGGCTCTTCTCAAAATAAAAAAAATACTGACTGCTTGGTTCCAGGATGGTGAAGTGCACTTTTTTGAAGGTTTTTCAAACGATTCAGTTTGCGCTCTGGTCTGAAGTTCACTTCCACACTTTGAAGAGGATTTGGACCGACTATTTGAGATTGGTGACATGTGATTCTTCAAAGGTTGGAGTTCACTAATAATTTCCACTTTGTTAAAAGGATAGACAAACAAAATAGAAACGTCTGATTATTATTCGTGGGGCAGTATATCAATCAAAATGATCGCTCAAAATCCTTGGTGCAGCATTGGAGTTCATTCTGAAGGCTACTAATTGGCGTGCTAATAACCTCACAAATAATCACACTGAAACTACGTTTCTTACTGCTGGTGGCTTCATTAAACTGAAACAACTTTTTGCAGTCCAGATAAATCCGTTTCCTGTATGAAAATTCGTTAGACCACTGTAATTAGAGAAATAGACATAGACGATTCTAGTTTGTATTTCATAATAATATTCATTTCTTCTAGTTATGAACATTGAATGTTTTGTACGAGCTTGAGGAAACATCCTAAATATCACTCATTTATAAGTCTAAAAATCCATCTCAAGCCGAATACAATTTTATTATTCTAGATAACCCATTTGACATGAGATGTTGAGTTCGCCTAACACCCTGAGTTAGACCGCATTAGAATTTAAGATGTATTTCTTCCCTTCTAAATGTAAACTACTGCGTAATGACTAGCCTCGGCGCCTTCTATTTTAACCATGAGAAGTAAAATATATCGTCGCGTTTGCAACTCTATCCATCTCGTCGGCATCAGCCGCTCTAGTAGGCCAGTGAATAACAAAATCTCATCAAGGATAGAAAACACCTGTTTGGTTTTTGTTAGCTCTAACCATATGCGTGTTACGAGAGATATCCTGTTATTTATCACAGGGCGATTATAGTGCCCAGAGCTTTGCTTTACAGCGCTATGTTGTGTTATAAGAGTATTGAATGTGAGCGGAATACAAATAGACTAATCAAAGCTGTCTTTGAAACCCTACATGCTCATGGCTGAATTATGGAATTTACAGTGCTGAGACTAAACAAACAGCACTGTTGGAATGTCTGTTACGCATTCTCGGCTACTTTATCTTGACACAGTGATAGTTGTCATTAGAATTGGTCGAAAAACTTCATAGTGGGTTAAACCAAGGTTCAACAACAGTTTATTTATTTACTGGCTCCAGGATTAAAACAATAGATGACATAGCTTTAAATTTTTTAATTATGTGCAAATGTGCTTGTTCTTCACATTCCTCGAAGTCTCGGGTCCTATTATTGTTTAGTACTAATATTTTCCAATATAATCCCATGTTTTTAAAGTTCATACTTAATATTTGAATTTTCGCAGTCATAAGTCTTATTGTTTTGACTTCCCTGATTCCTATACTGTTAACTTCTGTCTGGTATGTTGTGCTTTATCTTAACATGAGCTATAGCGTGTTTCTATTAAGTTTTACCTTGTTGATAGCTAATCCAGATTTATATTAAGGGTTATACTGTGCTAAACTAAACATATCTGTTCAGTTGAAGTTTGCATAAATCTCAAAAACGTTCGTACATTTCCATAAAACTTTTTTTGTTCAACTTTTTCTTTTTACAATGAATGGCTACTTAGGTTAGTGCCATATTTTGTGTGTCATTGGACCATCTATTTTGATTGATGAAATAATAAGATTAATTTTAACTTGACTCGGTAGATTTCAACAATGCGTTACACTCTGAACAAATGGAATATATTCATAAAAAACAAACGATTAAAACCTTGATTTATCACATTGGAACTCATAAATATTTGTTTGTATGTTATAGAAATATGTTTGTTTCTCTTTCTCTCTTCACACATCATTGATGTTTCTAATTAACCAATAGTAAAGAATAGTGATTTCGAAATTTCTTATATAATTACTTTTTTTTTTGTTTTAGAATTTAAAAACAAATTTGTAAAAGTATTATCTAAGTTGATCTGTGTTCCAGATAAATTTTGGAGCTCAATGAACAAAGATTTATATGGTAGGTCAGCTGTTAATACCCATCACTTTAAATGTGATATTCTGTTAGTTAGTTAATTTTCTTATTTACTGCAATGTTGATTTTTTTTTTCTTTTCATGGCGACAATTGATAGGTAGCTGTATTGTATAATTAATAGGAGAGAAAGAGAAACTCAATAAATTTCATACATACACAAATGCTAACATAATTATTAAATGAATGATAAGTTAAGTATTATTTGATAAAAAAAATAATCTTTATATAAAATGAGGTCTACATAATTGCGGAACTATTTTAAACTTACTACTTCATATATATAACTAGAAATAATAACTTGATTTTAACTACTGCTATGAGAGGCCTGTGAAGATTATTGAATTTTATAGTTTACATCTTATTAGTGAACCAGTATAAAGACTCTACCGGTGATGAAATTCGAAACCTTCAGCTCAGTTCTATGGGCGTCTAACATTCAGAGATTTCAGCTGGTATCTAATCTTTTAAATTGTTTGAATTTAATTTTAATCGTTTTGTAGCATTGAAAATAGAGTTTCATAATTTCGCTTGCTACTTTTAATAGTCGGTATATATATATATATATATATATATATATATATCGCTGTTGTTGAACAGTTCTCTTTAATCTCCTAAAGTTCCTTAGGATTTATATTTCATTTTACTAAACCGTACGAAACATTAATTTGAAAAGTTAAAAAAACCACTAAATAAAGTCATATCTAGTTATTGTATAGATGTCATTTCTCCGTAATTTTAAATCAACTGAATGTAGTTCATCTCGATTATTACAAACAATAAATGGGGTAAAAAAAAACAATAAATGTTAAGTAATGGAATTTTCTTATTTGTATTATCAGCATTCTTGACTTTTTTTGACCTAATTGGGGTCCCCATGATTATCACAACCAGTGGTTAGAAACATGGCTTAAGATCGTTTGGAATGGCCCTGGTGCATCCGTCTTTTGTCTTCCTCCAAACTCTGAGATTCGAAATTCCTCATGACTGTTTTATTTTATTATTTCCCTTATTTCTTCTCGAATCGTATCTTCGATGTCTAATCTTTTCTATTACAACTGATACCGTTACTGCCACTACTATTCTAGGATTTGACCTGACAACTTACTCTCTCAGTACTAACGGCATTTGGCAACTTGAATCCATGTACAAATATACCATTTTCTACGTTGTGACTAACTGACTGATCTTAAAAACTTGGTGGAACAAACGTAATTTGCTTTGAAACTACTTAAAATCATTTTCAACTTTTAGACATGTGATTTGCTTCATCTAAAGTGCACCAAGAGAACACAGTACAAAATGGTCTTTAAAATCTCGTTTTATCTTATCATGCTAATCTTATTCTTTTTTGTTTTCGTTCAAACTACACTCACTAACTTTGATTACTTCATTTAATTTAGTGATTTGATATCGCTTAACATAGTAATTTAACACTTGAACTAGATAACCTGTGTTTACTTGATTACTTTGAAAAACTTTCTCTCCTGTCACATTTTTATTATCACATGATTTACTTAAATCAAATCGTGATTTCATTCATACAAAATTATAAATTAAAGTAAGTTGGGTAATAGTCAGTGTAATTGACTCAAAAATTTCGAATGAAGGGATGTTATATGAACTATGATTTAAGACTGTTTTTACTGTCAACTAATTGTAAGCCTTATGTGCGATATAAATGAAAATGAGATATTCTCACTATGATTCATTCAAAGCTTTGGAACTTCTCAAACGTTAATTAATTCAAAATTGTCACGGTCGACCGTTGTTATACATTTTTTTGGTCGAAAATCTGTATTTTCTTCCACCACATTACATTCTCCTCATTTTACTTTTAATACTCCAACCAAAACATCAAAGTTATTTTGACGGATAATATGAAGTGACTTTTAAGCATTGTATGTATTTTTCAAATACATTAAGAGGCAGAGCATCCCTCAACTTCAATCGCTCGTTTCTTTAACTATAAATGCGAAAGTATTAACCGTTCAGTACTTTTGATCACATGTCTTTTTCTTTAAATACAAATATTCCATAACCTATTTGCATGACAAAAGATAACAGTCGTTCGTATATTTGGTAAAAATATGGATATCATGTGATTGTTATAAATAGGGTCGGTTAGAAATGTTGGCCAAGCATTCAGTATCGAAAATTATCTGTTGAACCAATGTCCTTATTTTTAATAGGAATCTTCATTTTCTTGGGGAGACCTCAAATGTTTGATGTAGGTATTCAATAATATAATATTTTGTAGTTTTTCTTCATTGGTTGGAAAACGTTAGATAAACGACTTGGTGAGAATTAATTACTTCAGAACATCGGAATATTAATATATTTCTCTGATTTTATTTCGGATAATGGTAAATAAAAATATTCGTCTTGTGACTGTTCCTCCTAATATTTCTAACCTGACTAAGGGAATTTGAATTAACAGTCTCTAGTGTCAATGATTAGAATTATTCCTTACATCATAAACATTTATATTGATAAAAGTAACTAGTGAACCTGGCACCTGTTTTCCATCTACTGTAGCAATGTGTAAAAGAAGAATTTATATTTTCACACCTATTGAAAGTTACTTAAAGCACAAAAACTAATTGTTTTATGTAGGAGATCTCTTTCTGGCTGACATAATTGAGTTTTCCTTCCCTTTAAGAACAAAAACATTATTGCTCTTAGTCAATCTGACAGTGGTGTAACTATCTTGTTCCTTGGTTTGACAAAATATGATAGTACTAGGTTTCTCATATAAAAGTTGAAAGCTTGTATTCAGGAGGAAACATTATAGTATCTCTTATAGAAGTTTCGTTGGAGGAACATTTGTTGTCGCTTTGGCCTTTCAAAGTTTGTGATGTCTTGCTCACATTTCAAGATTCCTTGTATATGGAAATCTAACTTTTTTACTGAAGACAAGATGATGATTTCCGAAGCTCATGTTTCTCGATCTTCTGTCTCCAATGTGAAGATATGATCTTTTGGAGAAGTCATCATTCTGTTCTTTCTACGTTAGTATTTTTATGAGCAATATGGTTTTTGTTCTAAAATACGTAATGAATTGTGACTCCTAATTTTTTGGTGGTCACTGCTCTAGATTCTTTTACTCCACTTGTCACATCTACTCACTAGAACTCCGAAAATTACTTCTCGATGTTAGTCACTAGTGAGCACATGATAATTATTAGTATAGGGTCAAGGAGGTTGTTTAGTTCTTATCGGGATCATGGACTGATACACACTGCCGAAGAGTCCCGTAATGGGACGAAACGACCGTCCAGGTTTTCAGTGGTGGTCTGACATTAATAGGTTCATAATATCAATAAAAATTCAACAATCTCGACAACCATAAACTGGAAATAATCATTCTTTTAATAAAAAAAAATCATTCACCAAAAATAAGTTACTTTTAAACAACTGTGTTGTTGTTTACTGAAAAGTAAAAGTTTCTTTAGCCGGTTGTTTTATCTTTGGAAATGTGTTTATTTGAACGGTTTTTTGTTAGTGATTTGATTTTCCTGAGTATTCATCATTGAAGCATATGAAATCATAGTCATATTTACAATGTTTAATCTGTAAAAACAAAATATCATTTGAAAACAAGTTACGGGAATAAGGTGACAGTCTATTTCGAAGACGGTAATTAATGGATTTATTGTTTAAGTATCTTTGCATTTATAAACTAAGCTGATTTTAGAGATAAAATTAAGAGGCATGCTTTACAGAATAAGGAATGGTCGAAGATATAAAAATGAATATTTTGTTGTGTTTAAAATTATGATTATTATCGTTGAATTGAAGTGTTTCTTTTGTTTGCTGATTTATCTAAACTTCTCAAAAACAGTATGTTTATTATCATGTAAATGAATGAATCAGCTGTCAGGATTCAGACAAATTAATGAAACAAATCGTTCATTTATTCTTCTCAGTCGTTGTGAGATTGGTAGTGATAGTTGTGGCGCAGACATATCAGTTACATACTTTTTCGAAAATGTATACTTGTACTGGTTTCCCACCCCTTTATTTTAGCCTTAACTGTAAACACTAGACATATAATAATTTATTAGAGGAGCCTATCGTTATTACTGTTTTCATAATCACAAGATAATACGTAATGAGTATGTTTGTCTGTATGTTTATGTGTGTATCATGTACATTAAGGCTGTTTGCAGTCAATATTACGATTGAAGCAGTGAGGAATGGCTCTGTACTAAAACAAATCATTCCTTGTCAATAGATGAAGGACTATATATATATCCATTACTTCATGAAGCAGAAAACTCTACATCATCAATTAACAAGAATTAAACCGTAGTGTAGTTAATGCAAAGGGATAATATTCTATATGGTAATTATGTTAATTATGTTGTATTATGTGTATATTTGTGTACATATGTGTAGACCTGTAACATATTGATTTAGGTTTTTCATTAGATAGAAAGTTGATTACTTTACTACAAATATTTGAAAATTTATTCTTTAGAACATGGTACCGATCATTATTATTATTAGTGGTAGTAAATTAACACTATGGCACACTAAAGTTATTAGTTATTCTGTGGTAATATTAACACGGAAAAATTATTGCTCTTTTTATTATGAAACTTAACTGAAGAACTGAGTGACTATAGATCATCTTACTTGGACATTTTGAAGTATATATATAAATTAAAACAAGAATGTACATTAAAGAACTTGCAAACAGCCAATTTTATTCGAAAATGAACGCTTTTTTTTTTATAAATTAACTGATTTTACATATCTAATGTAAATACGATTTGTGATTAGTGGGTGTTTATGGTATGTGCTTTATAAACTATAAGGTGCTTAGAATGATTTATACATAGATTAACAACATTTCTGACAAGAAAATTTTAACGAAAAAAGAAACTAAAACAAAAAAGAAATTAATAACAAGATATTTTAACTAAATACATATATTAACTTATCAGGCTAAATCTCCGATATTTGACCCGTCAAATAGAAATATAGGAGTCTGAAATCCAATCTGAAATCAAGTTATTAAATGTAGATTGAATATAATCAAACGCTATTATTCAAGTAATTTTGTCGTCAGAATGGATATTAATAAAGGGTACAATTAAAAAAAACTCCTTGTGCATACTTAACTATAATTCATAAGAAATGAATGTATAATATGATACGTCTTATACAAAACATTACAATCCAATCTACAATTCACACACACACACACACACACACAAGAAAATAATAATAATAAATAGGTAATAACAAAATTACATAAGAAATTATATAATAAAACATTTAGTTAAAAAAAAGAAAACCCATTTCCTATTAATCAGGATGTGATTTATTATTACTTATTAGATTACCTACATTAAATAAAAGTACACTAAAAAATATATTCCATATTCTTTAATTATTGTATATTATAAATACCAAAATAATAAATAAATAAATAATAAGAAATTTAGAAAGATAAGCTTAAATAAGCATAAAAATGACTGAAAATGAAATGATCCTTTTTTGTACTTTAATTTTATCCTTTTCTCAATTTGGATTGTTTTCTTTTCTTTTCTTTTTTTAATACACGTTCATGACAATTAATAGTTTTACAAATCTACCTAAAAAAATAATCACTATCATATTTGAAATATTTTTTATTTATATAATTAATTAGTTTAATTTGAGATCTTTTCATTATATAATAAAGAATATTTTATGGTTTATTTTAGGCTTTTGATAAGATTCAACGAGTTAAATATCAACTGGAAATCTTTTTTTTTTGGTTCTAAACAAGTTCCGTTTGTCCGAAGGGGTTTTGTGGGTATTTTAGTAATTTAAATAATTGAGATCATAAGTCAATTCAAGCTAGATAATCATGGAAAACCTCGAAGCACTGGACGGCTGTTTCGTCCTAGTATGGGACTGCTCAGCAATGCACATCCACGATCCCGATTCGAACTGAGAACCTAGCGTGTCTCGCGCGTGAGCGCTTAACTATTAGACTACTGAGCCGGCCGATATCCAATAGTGTTAATATCTAACTTCAACTAATCCATGAAATTGCGCCACCGTACACCATTGTCTTCAGTGAGTTGACATCTTACAACAGAACTGGCGGAACTCTACTGGTCACGGTTTCTCACTAAAACTCATGGAAATGCCTCTTGAGTTCAGTCAGTCTAGTGTTCCCAGGTTTTCCATGGTGGTTTAGCTTCAATTGACTCATGATTTCAACTACTGAAGTTCAGTTTAGTTATTAATTTACACATCATTATGTAGGATATGGAATGTATATTCATCAACTAGATATCCGTTTACTGAATTATGAAAACTATTATAGATAGTTTTTTTATGTAGTCTGAAATAAAGAGTGATTTAATCTATTCTATGCAAAATACTGGATTAGAGGAACGTTGAAATACTATTCTTTCACGATTTGATAACTGGATGTTTTTACATGTTACTGAATAGTTATCTGAAATAAATTATTGAAATATATTTCATTTTTATAATAATTTGCTGAAGCATAATTATCTTTTGTTATATTATAGTTGTTGAGGAAGAGCACAGTGGAGGTTCCGACAACAGAGAAGGATACAAGCTCAGTTTTCATACTGGGTCTTATCCAACACAAATGTTTATCGAACTTCAAGAATTGGTACCAAGGGTGGATGGTGGATTGCAGTTTAATGAATCTATTTTTAAAATGCCAGTTGCAGCTCATTTTCGAGTTCTTTGGTTAGAAACAGCAAGATGGGTGAATTTTGAAGAAAATTTTAATGAAGTGGAACAACGTTTTACAGAAGCTCATGTACCACCTATGAAGTTTTCTTGTATAAATAGCTTCAGGGATAAATTACAACAGAGTAAGAAATTAAATGTTAACTTTTTTGTCATATTCTTTATTGTATGTTCCTCAGTGACAGTAAAAACATTATCTAATAAAATTAATACGAAAATTATATTTCATGAGTTCTGTGGAATATGAAACTTTCATTCCAAATGTGTTTAGATCAAAATCTTTAACTTCTTTTCCCTATAAGTGAAGGAAATGGGTTAATAATCAACTGTGATTATTACAGTTTATTTATATTATTCTTTTTCATCAAGATATTCTTTTATTAAGTAGACAGGATATATTTAGATTATTTCAATAAATTAAATAATGTACTCGTTATATTCCGATGTAAGAAAAATTTAAAGTTATTCAGATAATACAAATACATTAATTTTAATAGTTGAGACCATAAGTCAATTCAAGCTAGATAATCATGGAAAACCTCGAAGCACTGGACGACCGTTTCGTCCTAGTATAGGACTGCTCAGCAGTGCACATTCCCGCTCCCGCCCCCCGGCGAGATTCAAACTGAGGGTCTATCAGTCTTGCGCGTGAGCGTTTATCCAATGGACCACTGATCCGGCATCATGATCTCAACTATTAAAATTAGTTTGATGTCCACAAACCTCCCTCCTGATATTAGTCAACGTATGCTCACTGGTGACGGTCTCCAAGAGGTATTTCCTGGAATTCTATTGAGAAGCAATGTCCAGCAGAGTTCAACCGGGTCTATTATGAGATAGTAACTCACTGATGACAATGGTGGATGTTTCACTCAATTTCATGGATTAGTTCAAGTTAGACATTAACACTATTAGATGCCGGCTCAGTGGTCTAGTGGTTAGGCGCTCACGCACGAGACTGATAGGTTCTCAGTTTGAATCTCGCCGGGGGGCGAAATCGGGAATGTGCACTGCTGAGCAGTCCCATACTTGGACGAAACGGTCGTCCAGTGCTTCGAGGTTTTCCATGATTATCTAGCTTGAATTGACTTATGATCTTAATTATTTAAATTACTAAAATCTCCACAAAACCCTTTCTGATACAAATATATTAATTTAATTTTTTTAAATAATCCACACAATGGTTAATTTCTCATTGAAATGATCAGAATAATTTTTTTTCTGGAATGATAACTATTTGGAACAGATATTTATTTTATTTTATTTAACCATTAAAGACATCTAAACTATTTACATAACCGCAAAAATATCTATACACTAAGTTTTATTCAGTTCCATTATATAGAATAAGTATGAAATTTAGTAAGCTTGTGTGTTTTATCATAATTACCACATTTAGATTTCTACTAATCATACTCAATGGAAGTAGTTGAATTAATCTGTATATATATATATATATATATATATATATATATATATATATATATATATATATATATATATATATGAGCACAGTTACTTTATGCGATAAGACTTCAAATGTTGTTTAGAAAAAATAATCCATAGAATTGTTTCTTTTAACTGTCTTGACCAACTCACTTAGTAGATAGGGTTATTTATTGGGAAAATATCTATTCGTTTAGTTTTTCTTTTTAAAAAAGAACTAACAGAGATTTATACATCAAGTTTAAACAAATATCTGTAGAGGCTGATTTCCTCTATATCTGACTCCAATAGATAGTATTCCGTTAACTGAGTATTTAATGCAGGCTGAATCTCCTAGTAGAATTATGGATTTACTCGAGATTATTCAAAAAGCCCGAACATCAGTTATAGAGATAGTTTATTGTTAAAGATTGGTAAAATCCGCAATCGTATAGGAAGCAAGCACACAGGAAAACCAAGAGTGTGTGTGTGAGTGTTGAAAATTCATATATATTTAATGAGTGTTAATCAAGTATGGATAAATTATTGATTGTCTGTGTGATATAACCAATGGGAGAATGGATTAAAAATTGATATGCAGACACTTGCTCAATCATACTCATACAGAAACTTGCATAGTGAATTAAATGTCTAAATTACAATGAGCAGATAAATAATACAGTAGTTGAATGGGCTTACTACATATCGATATATATATATATATATATATATATATATATATATATATATATATGACTGTCGTGAAATAAACTCTTGATTCTAAACGGAATATTTTAACTAGCAGAGTTTTGTTATCAAGTACAGTCTAAATAGTGTAATTTTATAAATTTCTTATAAATTTTATAGATAATTATAGTCGACAAGTGCTTAACCAATGCGTGATAATTAAGCTATGATAATGTTCTACAAAGGTTTTCATCATATATAGTATAACGAACTACTATAATAATTAGTTTTCTATTTTATATAAGCAATCTAGATTATACATTTCTCTTCTGAAAAGCATGAATTATGAATAGGCTAAGATTTATGGACAACTTAACAAATTGGTTGAAATCAATGGTTTAATTAATAAAAATTTAACTGTTTGTTTTCTCTATCATTGGCACACAATATAATAAGCATTCAATTTATTTAATACATTCTTTTAATGTTCTGATATATGAAATAGGTATTTATAGTTATATTTTATAAGAAATAGTCTTAATATTTAGTTAATCTACTATTATACTATATTTAATACTATTTCAACTAGGTTTTATATACATCTAATAAATGATGTCTATTTTTGATTTTGTATTTAAATCAACCTTGATCTTAAATTCACTTGGTGTATCTTCTCATTGTTATTTAGGACTGCAATTGATCAGTCTCAAGTAAAACAACATCAAGTGAATTTAAGCTTCACTTCATTGTACAAGCAGGTGGCTATCAGGATTCAGTAGCTAAGTGAATAACGCGATGGCATTTGAAGCAAACGGTACTGAGTTCGAGTCTCAGAGTGACCATCAACTCTGAGATGCAAGTACATCCAGTTGACGAGTCCCAAATAGGACGAAACGCTCTTCCTGGATTCCACTGCTAGCCATTATCCATCTTTGCTTAAAAACCTTGATCTTAGTTTTTTTCTAATCATTCTTTGATTCATTATTTTATACTATATGGTGATATATGAAAAGAAGTTAGAAATATATAGCTGATAAGTTTAATTTACTCCAAGAATATATTGTTCTTTTGTTGTTGATGTTGTTGTTGCATAAACTAACAATCGATACGTATATATTTTTCTTGAGTTGTATAGTTGTTATCAATCATGAAGATTTGTTCATGTGAAAGAGAAGAAACAAAACAAACTACGTAACAGTGATTTCAATGACAAAAATAACACTAAATATAATGTTTGCTGTATGATATAGTTGTCTTTTTTTAATGTTTATAATGAGTAACATTTTATTATTTAAGTGTCTTTGACATCTCGTGAATTTAATTAGTTTAATTGATTTTTGACTCATTCCATTACATATAGAAAAAAACATTTCTAGAGTAATATTTTGTCAGATGACTCTCTCTGTTTTTCTTTTTCTAAATGTTTTTCTTAAGTAGTCACTTGATAACGTTGATTTGATTTTGTTGAAGATAACATAATGTTCGTACAAAACATTGAATGAATATTATTGAGATTTGTTATTCTTAATATGAATAATTTATCAGAAATAAATAACTCATATTAATCGATAACGTGGTGTTACTGTAGATTTTCTAAGTGTGAAAATTAATAGTGTTTTTGAGAGACTAATAACAACAGAGTTGTTGTTCGATCCCAGTGTACTATTATGTGAATGTGAATTTCGATATTTCTCTACTATTAAGTGGAAATTAATAGGGAAAGTTGTTAATAACACTGAATAATAATATTTAATGTCTTTAATGAAATCACTGAAAATCTAATTTCTTGGATTATTACTTGTTCGCTGAAATTATATACAAATCTACTGACATTAGATGGTAGTTTTGATGCATCGATAACTATTGTAAGTTGGAAATAAGAGTTAGTGAGTTTCGACTTGGTGGTTTTATTCTTCTATTAGACTGACAGTAATTTCATTTTATCTAAAATTAAACATGTTTTTGTTCAGATATAGTTTAAAATTAACTTTTGTATGATGTCATGATATCATGCTTTGTCATTTGTAGAACTTGATACCACTAAAAATCAGAACCATATGTATGAATTTATTCACCATAGCAATGTTGAGTTTTGTGTTATCAAGTTTTATTAGATAATTCATATTAGGCGATGGTTTCGTATTTATTGCACTTTAAAGAAATGGCAGTGAAATGACAGCGGTCTCCTATGGAACTTTGAAATTCACGTACGATAAACCTTTTCTCTTCCTGTTACTAAAATGTCATATTAACATGATATTCCATCTACACATATCGAATTTTAAAAATCTTCATTGGCCAATATTTGTTAAGGTTACTAAGATATCCTGGATAATGTTTACGTTTCATAGATTTTTATAGCTACGGTCATCTGGATTTTGCTTAGTACATTAATTTGTTTAGTATTTGACAAAGTAGTGTAGTGATGATCATGAAGCATATTTTTGATGCAGTGGTTGGCATTTCAGTGCCACTTATTTGAACTAAGAGCAAATAACACCGGAATTTCTGATCTGAAAAACTAAAATATAAGAAAACAATATTTTCAGACATTTGACTAAACATATTTATATTATGCTTTTAATTATACAATGGATGAACAAAAACGTCATTGGTAATGGTGGGATTATCAAGTTATAGATTGGTTTAGCCCCAATCTTTTGTGAAAATAACTAACCTCCTATTATAATATCTATGCTTCTAATTGATCATCGTTATTATGCACGTAACAAACTCTTAAACAGTATTTGAATTAAAAAGATAATCTCAAATTCTTTGTATATTTATTAAGATATTCACCATAAGAGTAGCTTGGAGAGAACATTTCTGGAGTCCTAGTGAGAAGCCGTGATCAGTTGAGTACAACCGTGTGAGGCAGACACACACACAAAACAATGGAAAAAGATGGTCGTGCAATGTTGTGTATTGATTGAAATTAGACACTGACACCGTTGGATGTCAGTGGTCTAGAGGTTAAGCAATGGCGCGCGGGACCAAAGTCCATGGGTTCGATTCTCGCATTCGGGATCTTAAATGAGCACTTCTAGAAGATTCTATATTAGAATGAATTGACTATTCATTGCTCTCAAATTTTCAATGGTGGTCTAACATTGATTGGTGCATGATTAAAATTTCTAGATATCACAAAAAGAGTATTATGTGTTCAATTCAATTCAAAAGGACTTCAGTGATTACATTATGAATAAATCATATTCTTTATTTCAATGTACTGATTGATAAATGACCAATTCTATCGGTTAATTGTAAATTCAAATGAATTTTGTCGTGTATGTGAAAATGAACAAAAATAAATCGGTTAGTAAAACTGATTACGATAGTTTAGCAGTTAATTTAGTTACTGGGGTCCCATTAACAATAGTTACTGATTTAAAATTCGACATTTATCTACTATTTCAAATAGATTTATTCGATGCCAATATTTATTTCCTAATCCACTGATTTTTATGGTCATACTATTGAATAAATTATCCTTCTGAAAACCTTATTTAATCCATATATAATTGAAATTATATTCGTTATAAATTGCTATAATTTTATTAAATAGATCATACCTGTTTAATTTATGATAGTTTTATGAACTAAGCCAACTGTGACACAAACTAACATGATTGTTGTATCATTAGTAGTTTGTTTAGTTAAGAAAGAAAAAAACAAAAACGAATTTCTATGTATATATGTATATATATATATATATATATATATATATATATACATATCAAAAGACATGATGATGTGAAATAAAAGAAAGAAAATAATTTATACAGTTTTATTTTTCAATCGTTCCACTTGGTTATTTATGCCTAATGCTCTTTTGTTTTTTTAAAAAAAAACAATGAATAGTTGATTAAGTGGAACGTTATCATAGATAAATAGATATTAAAGTGTATAAATTTCTTATTATGTCATCATCATCACCATTCATCATTTACAATCAGTTTCTATGTAATCAGTTTTAGAATAATAGTTTGTTCATGTTGATTTATGCAATTGTAAATTCATTAAGGACAGTTTCATTTTATTATAATATTAATATGATTTTATTCACTTTATGGATATTTTATCTTTAATTTATAAATTAACAATCAAAACAAGAGATATTAATTCATTCAAAATATTCATGTTTAGTCATATGGTTTTCTTGTGAAACCTAATAAAATAATTTACTTAACTGAATTGAATGAGATGGAGCTTAGGGTAATAACCACCAGGCCAGGGTGCATACAGTCCAGCAAGAAGCCAGGTGCATGCATCATTATATATTTTTGGGTTATGATAATGATCCTTCCGCAGGTTCACCTACGGAAACCTTGTTACGACTTTTACTTCCTCTAAATAGTCAAATTAGGTCATCTTCTCAGCATCAGTCGAGCGGCAACGCCACTACAACGACACCAATCCAACGACCTCACTAAACCATTCAATCGGTAGTAGCGACGGGTGGTCATTGAAATTTAAGTGTTTCAACCACTGAATCATTAATTATATTAGAAGCTAGTTGTATGCAGTTTGCATTTGATGGATAATAAAATATAGTACTAGGCTAAACTAAATTTTTACCACATATTTTTATTTAAAACGGTGACAGAAAATATTGAGTAAGTACCAGTAAAATTTGAGATTCAACTTTCGCCTTGTGTACGATTCGTCAGATGGATGCAACAATGAACGATCTTTGATGTTAACAATGATAGCTGAACTCTATATCTGTCGTTTAAAGCTTTAAAGGGGTATTCATTGGCTTATTGAGTGAAAAGAGCCTATAATTTATTCAATGACCTCGTATGCATGAGATTCTTAATCTTATTAACGGAAACAGATCTTATACTGTTTATGAAGCAATTTAAAAAATCTCATTCTTGTTGAGATTTTACTGTTTTTAATCCAAAATCCAATGTTATTCCATAATTGCAAAAGTAAGATGAACGTTATAACTGAATGTTCTAAGGAGAAACTTACTAAATAGTCTTGTTGTTCAAAAAACAAGTTCGGCTTCGAAAATGTTGAAATATTGAAAAGTGGTGACACAGAGAAGACCTGAAAATTCCTTGAATTTTTGTATTCAGTTTATTCAAGGCTTATAACACCTAGTCCATCAACCAATCACAAAAATTATTAACAGTCATAAGTTTATGAATCGAGTCAGTGAGCAGGATAGCCACTATTAATATGAGGACAATCATAACACAATTGCTGTTAAAAGCCTGTTCAATTGAATATGAATTAAACCAGTTCTGAAAAAAAATTTGAAAGCTCACTTCTAATTGATTCCGAGCTATCCCCTGTATTTCGTGTTTCCCCTCAGATGTCGAGGTCTTCATGACCTAGTCAACACGAGATGAAAGAGAAATGGGGAGAGTAAGCAGCCTTGTTTGACTTCAGTCCTCACTTTGGAAAGCGTCTGTCAGCTGTCCTCCATGCACCACTTTGTATTTTGTATAGGGTATTTTTTATTACGGATTGATTTTAATTACGGTACCTTTAAAAATCGGAATACTTGGGTGCATAAAGTTCCTATGTCCTTTTTATTTTACAAACTACTTATCCATATGTTTTAAGATGAATTAATGGCTAACATTAATCACAAACATAATTAAAATACCGTAATTAAATTTGATACTTTATGTCTGTTTCTCATGTAATGGAGGATAAAATCTAACTAAGAAAATACACCATCTAATAAATATGGAAACAAATATGATAACTAAAACAATCTTTTTTGATCTGTGTTTCAATTGTTATCCTTACATTTGTTGAATATTTCGGTCTTTTAGAAAAACTTGGTTGATATTAGATGGTGGTTGGAGGTAGTCGACAGGAAACCCTGGACCCGGGTTTCGTGCTACTTGGCACTTGTCAGCAAGGTGTACCTGTAATCTTGAGGGAACTGGTGCTCCCTGACGGATTCGATCCCACGAGTTTACAGGCGCACCCTGCTGACGAGTGCCAAGTAGCATGAAACCCAGGTCCAGCGTGTTCTGTCGAATACCTCCAACCACCATCTAATCTCAACATAGTGCACGCGATGTAGAGTCGCCTAGACTAGTGGCAACATTGCAACTCGATCGATAGCATTCGATCTGCACTATTAAGGACTTGACACACATGGCACTGATCACCATCAAGTGATCAGTCAATTGCGACTGTTGGTTGATGTTTCGTGAAAATGAAAATTTAATTAAAACAAATTTTCTATGTGAAAGTAATATCGATGTTATGATTATTGTCAAAGTGCTTTTCACACATGTATATACCACTATATTTGTGAAATTGAAAATTTATGCTAGACTATTCAAATTTTTTTTAAATGAACGAGTTCCTTGATCGCATCGAACGACGGTTTATTTTTACTGATTTGATACTAAATCCTTTCAAATTATAAACTTTAGTATAAGACGTATACACTTTAACCCTCTGTTGAAATCATATGAGAATGTATTGTTGAGGTTTGTGTAAATGCCATTTGTATTAGTGGTAATTTTCTTCTAACCGCTCTTATCTTCATAAGTTTCGTTAATACGAAAGTTTTCGATTTAGTGTGCAACAGGAAAAGTGTTTAACTCAACACTTGTAAATTCTTGTTCACAATTTGTTAGCTATACAGCCCCGTGATATCTTTCCTAGAAATTTTGAAGAAGTATGCTGTGTTGCGTAGGGCGTTATTGGTAATTAGTAGTAAGCAGTGAGTATTTTTACGTCATAATAAATGTGGTCGAGAACAGACATTTTAAAATCTTGGAAAAAACTGAGGATTCTTATTTCGTCGAACACAAATGAGCAACTTTGTCCACATCTTTTTTCTTATTTAACTCCGGGTAGAACGAGAAGGAGTTTCATTAAAACTAATGCACGAGAAAAATCACAAACGTTCTACAGTAATTCTTGCCCTTGGGAACATAACACATCATCGTTTGAGGATTTCATATATATATATATATATATATATATATATATAAAGTGACGTCTACAAAAATGAACATATCGAAATATCAAGTCCTCAGAATTCTATATTGCATTAAACAGATAATAATGTGATTGTTATTACTGTTACTATTGTTATCTAATAAAAGTTAATTTATCATGATTATAGTTTCATATATTTGGATCGTATGGTCAATTTACCCCAACAAGGGACAATATCAATTGAATTTGATAAGACGGTTGTCGATGGTACAGATTAACTTTATTAAACCTCAGCTTCCTTAAGGATATCATAAATCGCTCATTAAATTTTTGGAAATAAAATGAGTGCATTCATACTTGTGGTAGTTAACATATAGGAATGACTAAAATAAATATCATTAGCAACAGCCTGCTGCGACACAGAACAAGCCACCTTCTAGCTGAAGAGGAAGTTAAGAAATTACATAAATTGCGAAAATCATCAAACTGCATCACGAGGCAAGCACCAACTTAGAATTATGAAAGGAAAAGGAGGAGAGAAAGGACAAGGAACGCATTGCATCGGTAATTGGAGGCAGACATAAAAAGAATAACAACTGGAAAAGAGAGCCAAAGACAGAGTTGGATGAAGAATCTTTGACTGCAGCCTATGCTCCTCCACGAGAGGTACCAGGCGTATATAAGATAAATAGTTATATTTTGAACAGATTCTTTTAAATGTATGGATGATTTTGTGGGAGGGTTGTAGATTGTCATTGGCAAGTTTATTTAAAGTTTGCATTACTTCATTATAAACTCCATTTTCTCCCTTAATTTTCATTTAAAATAGATTTGAAAATTATACAAACTGATGCACTTACACTTGGTCAAGCCCTTGATGAAGTGGCAAAATATGCTTTATCACAAAACTGTATTCAAGGAAATGAACAATACGATGTTTTACGTGCTATTTTGTTTGCTGAACGTTGGCATCCAGAAGTTAAAGGTCATATATCTGATGCGGCTGAATTCGATCAGTATTGGGCAGGTAATTAAAAAGCACTCTTTTCGATTTATTTGATTGAGTGTTTTGTAAACATCAGATCTGACCAAAGAAGTATTCATAATTGAAAAAGTTTATAATAAATATTGTAAGCAGCTTTAAAGCATAAAATATTATCCCACAGATTTTTAAAGTATAGCTGCATTTGAGTTTTTTTAAACGATATGATGACAAATAAAAATAAGCTGACAAGTGTTACGTAACAGGTTGTTCGTAGTGATGAAACGATGAGGATTATAAAAGAGAAAAATATAGTTTATTTTTATATTAAACTAAGTAGACTTGCACTGTAATATTTTTCTTCACATAATGAATTACATTTTGTACTGGTATCGGTGTTCAAAGGACTAAATTACTTGTAATCAATAGGTTAATTGATAATTTTCTCAGCTGTTTGATTCTTTTTTATCAAAAAGAAGAACAAATATAATATAGATTTCTTCATTAATTCAATTATTCAATTACTCGGGAGATCCGTTGAAACTTAGAATCTTCAACTATTATGGTAGTTAGAATGTGTAATTTAGATTATAAACTAGTGACCATCGTAAAGCTTACAGGAATTTGTCCAAAATGTGTCATCAATCGATGAATTCATTGACTTTTGACTTGTGAAGAGTGAGACAAGGAGAAAAATTCCTGGTATAGATTTGTATAATAATTGTTCAAAACTGTTAAAGGGTTTTAAGTAATCAGATTGTAATTTTTGTCAACGCCGTTAATGAATTTATTCTTTCAAGTTGATTTAACCTTACTTTATATCATGGAATATAACACATTTTAACAATCAACTAAAAATGGTGTTACTCATGAGGGACATTTGAGCTTATCAGTAATTAGTAGGGTAATCGATGAATTAATATTACTTTTTAAAGTAGTGGTTACTGGATTTTATTAATTTTCAGAAACGAAAAAATAACATACATTAACGAAAAGCCCATGCTATGAAGAAACTATTTAACTTTGAAACGTAACAGTGCTATGTCAGAGACATAAATTTAGTCTATAGTTTTAGACATATATATGTGATAGGTAGTTTTATTGTCATGATGTGATGACAGGTGTAAAGACAAGTGCAAAATACACAAACTCTTGATCTTCTAAATCAAATAAAACTTAAAGATTATGTTGAACGACTTTGTAAGCAAAGCTTCGCTTTTTGAACACTGATTTCAGTTTACTTTTAACTTATATATATATGAAGTATTAAGAGATTGTTTTCTTTACGTTTAAGGAACTTTACCGGAAGGTATCAATCCTGTAAGTTACAGCACACAACTAATGTTTCTGTGATGTTTATTTAAAAGTATTTCTAGTGTGTATTTAATAATGGTATCGACATTACTATCATTATAATTATTGTATTGTTATATGTACTCTGCAAAACTGAACGGTATCATATTTTGTTCACTTTGTTTTAATTCGAATGTACTATATCTAGATAGATTAGTTTACTCAATCAGAAAATTCTGTAAATAAATTTTGCTCGAAATCATAATTAAAGGTTTAATAGTAATTAATGTTTAGTGAATTAAAGGACTTATATATAGAGAGCTGGTAACACTTTGAGAAACATTAAACACTGCAAACAGATGAATAACTATTACATTGAGATATGAAAATCGTTAACAATGTGCACTTGAAAATCCATGGATACTTGAACCTGAAAACCTTATATTTTACATTATCTTTCAGACCATTAACTTGACATCAAATGTGTTTTGATCCTTAGCTTCGTTTATTTAACAGTGATTGTCTATCTAAATTTATTTAGTAATGTAAAACCACTCTAACTAACTATGATAACCTTTTTAAAGTTTGTAGTTAACTGCTACATTCACTAAATGAAATGTTATAAGTTTCAGAAAATGAAAAGCTTCTTTGGCTTCATGGTATTTCCTTAAAAAAAAAGAAATGTAAAACATTTTCTTTTATTTATCACGTATATGACTGTTTTCATAAAACTAGGCTTATGAAAATGACGAAGGAAAATGGACTTTTAAAAACTTTCAAAGTAAATTGGTAAGTAAAAGAGAAGTAGACAAGCAAAAAAAAACAGGATGACAAAATTATAAAATGTCTATTACTGATAATATACACATTGCTTAAATTAATTACAGCACTAATTCTCTATATTACAAGAACTGCTTTATCCTACACTCCATGTATGTACTTTTTTATCCATTTCGGCTTTTATAAATTCACTTTTTTTTGTATAAGTAGCCATAGAATCGTGTTTATTCAAACGCTTGCTTTGTATTTAATTTTGACAAATTTGATTGGGTAAAAGACAAGAAAACCTCGCTTTCTTCACTTTTTGTTTAATAAAACCACCATTGTTTTCTATGATTTAAACAAATAATCAAGATTGCTAACAAAAAAATGCTTTCGGCTTCATGTTATTTGTGTAGGTTTCTTTATGCTTAGCTTACTGCTTGATAACTTTTATTTATATATTATTTTTCGATAGTTCGGTCTCATATAGCTTTTTTCCAAAGGTGTTCAGTATGAAACGAAACTAACGTACTTCAGATCATTTGTGAATGGCTAAACGTTTCAAAATTTTACTATTGGTTGTACAGATAAGTGGAAGTGGGACTCGTCAACTCGATGTACCTGCATCCATAGTTGTTCACTCCGCGATTCGAACCCAGTACCGTTCGCCTCAATTGCAGTCCCAAACATCAGTGGGAAGATCCAAGTAAACAGTAGCAAGTGAATTTAAACTTCACTCTATTGCACAAGCAAGCGGCTATCAGGACTCAGTAGCTAAGTGAATAACGCGCTGGTGTTTGAAGCGAATGTTACTGAGTCGAAGTCCCAGAGTGAACATCAACTCTGAGATGCAAGTAAAATCAGTTGACGAGTCCAAAATAGGACGAAACGCGCTTTATGGATCCCACTGCTAGCCGTTATCCATCTTTGCTTTATGTATAAATGGGGTTTTTAAAATTATCTAACCTCAATTTTTAACTTTAGCAAGTAACTGTTATTAAGATTCTTGCTTATAAAGTCTTTTATACACTTGTTTTTAAAGTTGTTCTTCGTGATTGTAATCACTTTAGTATAGTTATCATTCTAAATATACAGATTTTGGGATTGTTTTACATTGGAATGAAGTGTTATTTTTACATCTTTGGAAAATTGAGTATAGAATCAATTCTTTTCCCTAAATATTCATTGTTTCAAAGTTAGAGTAATATTCTTGAACTATGTAGTTAGATGATCAATTCACTGAGTTGGGCAATTTGAACAATCTTTAGTAAAATCAGTTAATTTTTTTGTTTGTTGATAACTTCTGATGCTTACAATTATATTTATGAATAAAGAATGTAATTTATTTTAGTTCTTCAGGTAGTTATACATGTGACTGAACTATAAATAACGAAAATTTACTCTATATTTACAAGCATTAATGCTTGTAAATGAAAATGACTATAATCAATAGTTAACAGCTCTTTATATTTTATTAAAGATGTTTTGCCCGAATTTTTAGTAGTATCATCAAGATTGTGGGTTTGCAATAATTTTCAAGCTAAATCCATAGGAATGTTTTTTTTTCAGTATTGTCATTTACTTTAATAGTAAAATTGTATTTATAGTTATTTTACACAGAATGGTCTACGTTAATTTAGAAAACGTTTGCGTTATTGATAAATACACCTAAATTTAACCGTAAATTTCGGGTGTCGAATGACGTTACTACATTATCCAAAGAAACCAAGAATGAAAACAAGATGTAGAAGAGAGATATCAAACGTGATTATTTACTTCAGTATAAAGCAGACCAAGGAAAAAGCAATAATATGCCCAGAATGACTTCATGATAGAAAGCTAGTGCTAGGATTGTGAATAAATAGGGATTTGGACAAACAATTTCTGAACATCACTACCAGGCTTAGACTGATGAACTGCCATAATCTCTGCTATAAGTACATTTCTCATCTAACTTTATTTTAAACTAGTTCGTTTAAATTTATACATTACCATCACTGAATTAACTACTTCTATGAATTCGGTGTTCATCTCGTTGTGTTAATGAGGTATGATCCTACGTTGTAGCTGACTGACTGACTTAAGGATAAAGATTCTGGTGAAAATAAATTACCGAAATCGATTAGTTGTTTTATAATAGAACTATTCCTCGATTTACATCCATCTATAGATGACCATGTTTTATAACATTCGTGAATACATTTGAAATGATGACAATATATAGGAACAATATATCTTGACTGAATCGTTTACAACATAAATTTATCCATCATTTCAATATTCTGATTACCTCAAGTATCTTTGTTAACGACTAAATAATTTTATTTCTGAGTATGAACTATTATACATAAACTAATGATAAAAAAGATTTTTCGCCTTTAGAACGTAATATCAACGAAAACAAAGCTTCTTTTAGTTAATTTTTATTGTACCTCCTACAAATAATGTTAAAATGGTTCAGGGAAAAAATATTCATTTTACAAAGTTCGAATTACTTGTTTAATGTTATTTCTACATTTTTTTCGTGTACAGGAATCTGCTCGATCATCCATTTCTTCATTAACATTTGAAGTTAAGGTTTGTACAGTTTCTCTTTTAAAAAAAAAACAATTGAGTAAAGAAAATAGCAAGAATCCAATCTATTGCATAATTCATTCATTTAATTTTTCACAACTAGTTTTACTAGTTCAATTGATCGATATTCTTTTCTGAAATGATCCAATTGATATTCTTTAGTAGTTTTGCTTATTCAATTCATATTAATTCAGATTCAATCTAAACTCAACCATTATTTTCATAATTATTTTTGTTGTTGTTGGAAATTCACCAATTGATTCATACACATTCATTGTTAGTGCACTTAAATAATTTTATTGGTCTGATTTTCTTGGGTACTTGAATTCAGTTTGACTGCAATTATGTATATTTAAATAATTGTGTTAAAGAACTAATAGATTACAGCTTATCGTTTAATACTTGTTTAGTTTTGGTAATCAGATTCATATTTATTATTAAAGCGATCTTTACAGATTCAGTTTATCAACTTAAGTATAAGTTCAGATGTAGCTAAGAAAGGATTCATTTGTCTTTTGTTCTTTTGTAGAACAATTTTCTCTTTCAAAGTTACAGAATTAAGGAAAAAAATTACTATTCCGCACTTATTTGATTTATATTTCATCTTCACAATCATCATGTCATTGGGATTTATCACACGCCTTGCGGTTTTAGCTTTGTGTGTTCTCAGTTAAAAAGTTTGGGCTATTATTCATGTATTTGTTTACAACCATTGAATTCTGGGCTGGAATCCCGAAAAAACGGCTTTTGAAATTAATAAACAGTTAGCATAACCAACCTTCCAGAATGATTTATGACTCTAAGACTGTTTTCAAACCTGCACTAAATTGAAACTTGTCATAATCTGTAAAGTCATTGTGTATCACATTGAGATATGTTTGCAGGTCCGGAATGCCTGGTTGAAGCCTGAGCAATTCTTACAACCTATGGTTGAAGACTTGAATAGACATGATGTTGAATAGGTTCTAGTAGTTTATATGAATTCGCTTTAAGTCTTCCGTCGAATCTTCAGTTTTTAAGAATTATATTGGGCATTTTACTCCACGTATTCATTCTTTCTCCACAAATCATATTGCCTGTGCCCAACATTTTCTGCTCCCACTGATGCTGTTACTACGTCTTCTAATCTGGTATTTGTTTTGGTAACTTTACCACACTGTAATGTGATGGTGTAGGAACTTGGGAACATACATATACGTCCCATGTTTTACGTTATGTATGGCTGACTTACTAGGTGAATGAATCGTCACAGACGACCATTTGTAGCGAACTACGTTTTCTCGTGATAATGATATTTAATACTACTTTCACTTAAATAACGGGTTGCATATGTTTGACAAAAATGGCGTATTCTTCCCAATTTAACAGTGTCGCGATGTATCAGTGTTGAGTCGTAATCTTTTAAACTATTTGACAAAATTCGTTTCTAATATTCATCGTCTGTTACCGTCACTATAACGTTTTGGTTTGTCTTGACATATTTAGATGTTATTCGCCAATGTGATTCAAAATTACCAGGGAAAAATAAAGGCTTGTTTTTTCTGTTGTCAAGACGGTTATTTAGCTTAATGAACACAATAATCGTTTCATTCAATAATATGTGTTTTTGAAAGTTTTATATTCTCTGTGTTAATTGATTTAATTAAGAAGGCATTGATTGTCTTTCTAGATGGTGAAGAATAGATTTGACATAGCTGGAGATCACTAGCAAACCATATATAAACATTATTATTTGTATGTTTTTATGTTTTGGACTACCCACAAAGTCCTAGGTTATATGTTACTAATTCGAGTATTCTCTTCAAAGTTTTAAACGGATTAACCATTGTTGTTTGTTAACAGCTTAGGCCACTATTTTCTAAAATCAATAATGTCCTCATACATTTGATTATTACTGGAAACTCACGTGTGCACCTAAATGTTAAACACTTTTTTCTCGCAACATGTTGTACACAACGACAAAGCATAATGTTTGAAAATATTATACTCAATATTTATTCAGTTATCATTATTTTAACTTACTCTCACTGCCCCGTGACTTGAAATTCATTATTTCTATATATTTTTGATTCTTCTTGAATTAATAGTTTCAATGTAAATAAATAAATAAAGTGATAATGCATTATCACACTTATCAGCAGTACATAAAAGGTTCAAGTTCAAACTAGCTTGACCAAATTAAAGTTTCACCCTACAGCTTAAGCAAAATACATGATTAACCTACGAAATAATTTTTATTGTACTTAATTTTAAGCTTCATACCGATTTGGATAACCAAATTTATTAGTTTTCATGATCTTGCTTTAAAAATTACATTTTAGCAAAATGTTAAAATTTGATACTATCATCTTCATTCTTTGGAACTATACTATGGGCAAGTTGCTTATTGTTTTCTTCTGCATTATCTTAATTCTACTAATAAGTGCAAGTTGTCTTATCTTCATGCATATGGTGTGTTCAAATCAACAAATTTTGACTCATATTGACAAATTAAGTTTCAACCGGAATATACCAATCGAAACATAAAATAAGAAAGATTGATTCAGCAAATTGACTGAAAACTAAGTATTGTCCTTAGATCACATTAATTCTTCGGTAATATCAACCATTTGCTAAAAGAGGACTTTTAGTATCCTATTCGGAAATTTTAACAGACACAAAATAGAGTTTTCCGCATTAAAAATTCATCTACTCAACATTCTTACAGAGAACTATTATGAGGATAGCTTAGTGTACATACCATACTGATTCTGACTTCATGTAGAATAATCTTGTCTAACACACTTATACCAACCCTCATGAGATACACAGGTATATAAATTTGCTATAGTTTCAAGTTTGGAAATAATAAATCGTTAAATCTAGAGATGATTGCTAAGCTTTAATTTAGGACATCACACTTTACAGATTAGATCGATAGCTATGACTTTCGTTAAGGTGAATTAATATCTTAGCATAGAGACTTACTTGAGGCCTACTGATGCAGAGACTGCTGCTACACTGGCTGTCTTTATCTGCATTTGTTCGTGTGTGTGGGATAGGAGGGCTATGTCATCTGCGAAGTCCAAATCGTCTAATTGGTCTTGAGCTGTCCACTGTATGCCGTGTTTTCCCTCAAATCTCGAGGTCTTCATAATCCAGTCGACCACTAGAAGAAAGAGGAAAGGAGAGAGTAAACAGCCTTGTCTGACTCCGGTCCTTACTTGGATTGTATCTGTCAGCTGTCCTCTATGCACGACCTTGCAATGTAGTCCGTCGAATGAGTTCCGGATAATGTTGACAATCTTCTCAGGAACTCAGGAGTGTCGAAGAAGTTTCCATAATGTCCTCCTATCTACACTGTCAAATGCCTTTTCATAATCAATGAGGTTGATGTACAGTGTTGAGTTCTACTCAATTGACTGTTCAACGATGATCCGTAGTGTGGTCTGTGCATGACTGATCCTTACGGAATGCAGCTTGTTGATCTCGAAGTTGGGCGTTTACTGCATCTTTCATCCGGTTCAGCAACACTCTGTTAAAGACCTTCCCTGGTATTGACAATAGTGTAATGCCTCTGTAGTTTTCACATTTGCTCAAGTCTCCTTTCTTTGGAATCTTGATGAGGTGCCCTTCTTTCCAGTCCATCCGCACTTGTTTCTCCACCAAAATCTTTTTCGAATATAAGGTGAAGCGTGTTTGTAGTTACTTCGATGTCTGACTTCAGTGCTTCAGCTCGAATGTTGTCGATTCCTGCTGCTTTCCCGCTCTTGATTTGTCTGATGGACATTCTGACTTCTTCCGTCGTTGGTGGATTGACATCTATAGGAAGATCTGTGTGTGCTGTTTCGATGTCTGGTGGATTCGTTGAAGACGGTCTATTCAGGAGTTCCTCGAAGTATTCTACCCATCTGTTCCGCTGTTGTTGAATTTCAGTGATTGGCCTGCCTTCTTTTTCTTTGACCGGTCTCTCTGGTTTACTGTATTTCCCTGCTAGTTTCTTTATTGTATCGTAAAGCTGTTTTATATTTCCTTCTCTTGCAGCTTTTTCTGCTGTCGTTGCTAGTTCTTTCACGTATTTCTGCTTGTCGGCTCTAATACTCTTCTTCACTTGCTAATTTGCTTCTATTTACTCAGCTTGTGCTTGGACTTTCTCTGCTTGTGTTCGGCTGTTGTTAACTGTTGCCTTCTTGTTCTTCCTTTCTTTGGTCTTGTCCCGTGTTTCTATATAGATCCATTCCTTATGATGGTGCTCCTTTAGGCCCAGAACTTGTTGACACGTTGAAGTTAATGATTCTTTGATACTTTTCCTGTTGTCCTCCATAGTAGTTTCTCCTTCCTTCAGTAGATCCAGTAAGGCTTGGAACCTGTTGTTGAGAGCTATCTTGAATTCGTTGATTTTGTCAGTATCTCGAAGGAAGGCTGTATTGAACCTTTGTAGTGCTGTTTGTCCAGTTGTCCAGTTCTTCTTTAGCTTCAGTTTTAAATTGAATTTGTTTGACAACCATAGTCACATTTCTGTGAATTATTTTAAAATCTGCTTTGTTAATAGTAGGAATTTATTATTATGATTCCATATTCATTACTTTTAAAATTTTCTCTTTGGGTTGATCTATATTTCTGTAAATATTCTAGGTTGGTCATGATAGTTATATCAAATTTCATATTTGATTAAGAGGTAGGGAAATATATTTGAAAAGATCAGTAAGTTATCTAATCTCTTCGTGTTACATTATTGATTCTTATTTAATTTTAAGATAATTATTATTTATTTCTATTGCCAAATACTTGATTAACATATTAAGATTATAGGTAAAAATGTCTCGTATTGTTTTCATGTTAAGATTAATATAAACGAGGCATCTATTTCAAGTGACTACAAATACACTTATTCGTATAAACAGAAAGTAAACCTTTGTAAACAACTTATTATCAACTGTCAATGGTTAATATAACCCGAATAAACTTATTCTCTTTGTTACTCATGTGTTGTAATTAAACAGTACACTTCTTTTTGCACAATCTAGAAACCAGCCTTTTTACAAAGAGCATCTGTGGCAGCGATTGGAGCTAAGGTGGGTTATAGTTTCATTTTATTGACAAAAATATTCTAAGTTGAGGTAAAGACATGTGTTGCTTTTATTTTTTCATTTATTTGTTTATTTTTTTCAAACACGACCGTTTCTATGATATTCTTTATGTATCGTTTTACAACTATCTTGATTTATTTAGAGACACTTTATTCAATCAATGTTCTCAAAACCGAAACATCATCCCGGTATATCAGTGTGCTATTTCTAGTAGGAACGAATTAACTAGTCATTGCCATTAGGAATAATCTTTAAAAGGTTAAATTAGTTAGTATTGCGTGATGCAAAAGTAGGTTACGTTGTTTCTAAGGTCAAATTTCAATTATTTTTAACATCCAGTTTTCTACTGCCTATTGCTGCTAAATTATTCCTTTATAGGAGATAGTTTCTTGAAAACATCTTTTAATTTTCATATATAAATGGAGCCCAATTATAATATTATAATATTTCAGATAAATCAGTCCAACATATTCGTATGTAAGTGAATTACTGTAGTATAAAAGATTCTCATGTTATCAACTGCCAATATGCTTTCTCTTCTATCAGTGAGATCTTTCAAGAAATTAATCCTGAAAGTATTTCCGACTAGTCAAAGGTTATAGCAAAAACCCAGACATTTCCTTCTCATAATTCATAGAGTTACAAGTTAAAGAATTTCAGTAGTAATGAAAAAGCAGTACTACTTATTACTGTTATTATCATGATGAACAAAACCAAATAATTAGAACAAAAGTAACGAAACTAAATAATACCAATATTGCGCATAAATCTCGTTAATTATTTAAACATCATTTGGAGTGTTAATCTTAATGCCGTTTGTAAACTCTTATATTCACTTTGAACTATCAATAAATACGCGTCCTATTTCACCACAGTTGTATTACATGTTTAAGGACTTTTTGCCTTCTATCTAGAATACCAATATCATCATAATAGGCATATATCAGGTTAATATCTTGAAAAATAAAATAAACACACCCTTCAGTCCTATAGAAAACAAAATACACCCAATTAAATATAAAGCTAAATCTATTTTCCATTATCTTAATTCTATGTTATCTTCAAAATAAATAACCAACTACTAATAAATTATTTTCATTAATTTCTTCTTATAATCATCAAATCACCTTCTTTATTCTATAGAAGCATATTTCTATGACAAGAGCATCTGTTTCAACGAATGATTTTAAACCAAAGGTGGGTATTTAGTGTATTATATACAAGTCTAATGCTAACAATTGCTAAAAATATAGGACGTTTAATTTATTTTTTTTTTGAAGAAAAAAAAATGTATGTCTATGCAATTTGGTTTAACTATTCATAATTATACAACTAATTAGTGATTACTTGATCATGTTTTAGTTTTAATATCCATTTTTATGTGTCAGTAAAATGATGATTAATTCTTCCGTATAATGTAGTTAAATAAATGCTAAATGATATTTAATTATTCCATTGTAAATTTTGTTAGACAATTTATTTGTTATTGATTAAAACAACTTGTCAAATTTATGTATCAAGAACATATTTATCATGAAATAATAAATAACGAATTATAAAATACAAGAGGACGCAAGTTTACAAGTATGCACGAGAGCGTACCCTCTAATGAGTATACTCTATAAATTATTGAAGTTCTACAGAGAAATTAAATAGCGCCTGTCGCGAGATTGATAGGTCCTGGGTTCGGATCTCGAGGGGGACGGGATCGTGGATGCGCACTGCTGAGGAGTCCCATACTAGTACGAAACAGCCGTCCAGTGTTTCGAGGTTTTCCATGGTGGTCTAGCTTCAATTGACTCATGATTTCAACCATTGAAATTTCTAAAAATCATCACAAAACCCATTCTGATTAGAAATAACATTAATTTTATCTATGCTGTAATTTAGACGACTACTTGTAGATGATTATATCAATATATAAGATAGAGGAGCATTATAGTTCAACTTACTAGATTATAGAGAATGGGTTCATGACAAAACCTCATGAACATGCATTCAATACCGTATGAATATATTATGATGAAAAATTGTGAGTATTAAATGTCTCTTCAGTGTTCTGCAATATTGTAATTGTCCTTTAGTCGATATCGACTTGTGACTATACTTAACTTCAAAATGTACCAATATTGATACACCATGCAATAAAGAAAACTAGACATATATTTCTTTTGGACTGATCATCTTGTAAATGATACAAGATTAAATATATCGATAAATTGATTTTAGTCAGTATACTTGAATTTATCTGCTTTTTATTGAAAGTTGGCATTATACTGTCTGTTGGCTTTAATAACAATTTATGTATATTTTAGACAGATCAATAAATATGAACAACATGTTATCAGAGAAACATAGTGTATATCAAACAACATATCGGTTACTCTATTAATTAAGATGTATAGAAATGATTATTTAAATGTATAGATAATTAGTTAGAGATAACTTAATTCAAAATAACTACTTTCAATTATGTTTTATTAAATTCATTGTAACAAATTTTGTCCTGTATTAGAAAAAAAAAAGTCTTTCCTAGTAACTATTACATTCCATTCTTTTTTAATGGTAGGCAGTTTAAATACTGTTTTGTACTTCTGAACCTATTTTTGTATTGGTTTATTATACAATACATTTTCGATGTATATTTGCTTGATTGACAACCATATGCTTGCCAGTCATTAAAATTGTATAAAAATTAATAAAACACTCTAGATCTATCGATTTATAATTTCACAAGATAATTTAATCACTGCTATGTGCTGAATAATAGATATTTGTATCTGTTCGGTGCTTCTAGACAATAGTGAGTTACTCTGGACTAGGATTCCCTGATAGTTGACATTAGTGAAAGGAATTGCACATATGCCATACAGGCAAGTATCATATACCACGTAGATCTAGATATATGATTTCCTCATTAGCATAAGCTAAGGTGTGTCATCATGTCAATTCATTAAGACTGGTGCGCGCACTACAAATTTACCAATGGAATTCGATCAACACTGCAGATTAGACAACACGATGTACTTAAATTCACAAAAACCAGTGAATCTATGTTTGTTAACTATTATGTCATAATAAATATTGTTAGTCTAGTTTGAAGATGATGATAATGATAACATTTATTTAATCTGCTTTTTATTTTATTATAACTGTATCTTAATAAGCTGAGGATTTATTTTATTTTATACAGTTTTTTACCGATTTCTAAATTTGACTAAAACAAGAGCAATTAATGTAGCAGAGTAATATGAATTCATTAACAATAAAATATTAATGCTATAATTGTGTAAAGACCAGATAAGAAATGAATGTTATTAATTAACGTCACAAAAAGAGGAATTTATAAATGCCTTCACCACGGGAAATTAAAACTGATAACTGAATCATTAAAGAGGAAGAATGTATTTGTAACAATCTTTTAGGATGCGTTAATTTGGTTTATATATTTCTATGGCAATCGCTTCAGAGATCTGTAGTAAATTTGACGTTCTCCGTTTACTAATTATCTTGAGGGACTTTGAGATATCAACATTATAGCCACTGTAAAGCAGATGGCTTATGATATCACTACTGAAAACTTACTGAACTGTTAGTCTAAGCTTCTGCATTGTGTGGTCAGAGATTTGAATACTAATCCTACTTTATGTTCTTTCAATATATGTGCTTGGCACGTACATGTTAACTGATAGGTACGACTGGATGTAACATAAGGCGCAAATTTATCTACATATGATTGTCTTAATAAGAAATTCGTTTAATACAGAGTGATCAACTTGAAAAATGAATCCATTCATTTAATTACGGCCTTTAATCTGAAATCAATCATTCCATCTATTTCATTGCCCTTCAATCCAAGTCTTTGAAAAACAGCGTTCTTCTCAACCACTGCATACTCCATTTTCTTTTGCTTTTGTCTTCCCATGCTTAGTTATACATTTTTGAGAGTAACCATCATTATATAAATATCTTTCAGCTACAGTTAATTACCTATCAATTTTATATTCTGAAAATAATATTCTGACACAATTGAAAAACATTCTAGCAAAGGGTCAGTTGTAGCTTATCCGACAGGAGCTATTAAAGCTTAAGGATGATTCAATCTATTTATGCTTTTGATAAATATATCTCTCCAACCAATCATTTTTCTAATATGAGCTTCAAAGTCATATGCATAGCTTTAATTAAAACTTACACAACAATGTATTTTTCACTTTAACTGTCCATCATTCTGTGGTGCAGTTATTTTCAAAGATTTGTTTTGTTTAAAAAAAAATTTAGAAAAAAGAATCTCAATTAAAGAATATATATAGATCATGATACAATATATGCACACAACTGAAAATTGGCAAAGTTGGTCAAATATTTTACTTTTCAACTAATTATTACATGAAAGTGAAATCGATATAGCCTTAATTCACAGTATTTATAAAGGGATATATTCTAAAAACAAACTTTTTGTCATAATTTTGTCATCATCCTTTTTTTTGTGTAAAATTATTGTCACGTTACCAGAAACACAAAACCTGTTTTTCTATTTAATTTAGTATAACATTAAATTACGTTCCTATTCATTCGAAATTTTGAAGCCTGTGCACAAATTTTATATCACTTATAGTTCCTACTTATTGATTTTCCTTTTTATGCATGCACAATTATTTTTTTATTAAAGTCCCATTCTCCTTTCATATATATATATATATAACGTTTATCTTCTGTGAATGTTTTCATTACTATCCATTTAATTTCAATGTCTGGGTAATGGTATTTGTTCAAATAAACTGCAAACATAAACTTTTTATAATCAAATTGTATCAGTTTATGAGTATTTGCACATTAAGGTTTATTATGGTGTTTGTTTTATCGCACATGCGGAAAATCCGGAATTACCTAAACACTTGTTATTTCATGATGTGATTCATTCTTCAGCTAAGATCGATATGAATATAAATTCTGTTTTAAGAAATATTTGTGCAAATTCAACAGTTTTCATTTCACTAATTTTTTTCAGGAGCAATGTTCAGTTAAAAGGTCATGTGTATCATATAATGATCTTGGTTATAAGGTTGGTATTATGTGTTTTTTTTCTTTTTTGACAAGTCGGAACCTAATGAAGACATATGATTTTGCAATATTAACAGATAGCTACCTAATCAAGCTACCGATCTAATGTCAATAATACATATTTGTATGTTTTACTCAATGCTTTGATTTAACTGAGCGATCTTTGTTGTTAATAATGGAATAACGGATTTTAAATGATGATTTGTGATTAGTTTCTTGAGTCATTGTATTCATAATATGTGTATAATGACTTATTATTATAATTTTATACGTATTATACGATTCCTATCAACTTTGGAATTAATGACTTTTTTTAACAGTAAAAAACGGTATATATATTGTTAGGAAATTATAATCTTTATTAATAATTTCTTGGTATTATGTTTTAATTGATTAAATCATAAACTTTTTATCTTAGTTCTATTTACTCATTTATATCAGCTTTCTCTAGGTAGTAGAGAACAAGGAGCAAGTTCACTTTCAAAAGCGCTTAGTATTCACAATGAATGTCAACATCCTTATCATCGATATAATCAACCTTTAACTAATTGCTTATCCTCTGGTTCTGAAGCATGTACTGTTATTTGCGGTTTAATTGAATTTGTAAAATCACCAATTCTTGTACTGTTAAGATTAAACAAAACTATTCAACGTTCATGTATTTCGGAAGTCGATATTCCAGTACGCTTTATATTTATTTATGTTGGACCACAAAATGATGAATTAAATTATGCTGAATTGGCTCGTATATTTGCAGTAATGATGACTAATGATGTAAGTTAATATTCCGATTAGTTGTTTTTAAATTTGTTTTCTCTTTTGCTAATACAGATGGTAATACAGATGAAAAAAGTCTTTCAGTCATTCGGTTAAATGTTCCACTTCACTTCTGTTGACTCAGATCAAACATCTAAGCTAAAAGCTGAATACATTATGTTTGAGTTTTACTCTACTCAGTGTGTGTACATGAAACTGTTGTTTGGCTTTTTTTGGTAAACACTTTTTCAGACTATAACAATGTGTTAGTGAAACTTTAAGTCAATTTATAGATAAACATATGTTTCTTCTTAACACTACATGTGAAGCATTCACATAAGCTTAACAACTGAATTAGCTATGTAATTTCTTACGCATGATGGAATATAAGTAAAGTGATCAGCTGATTTATTAAGAAATATGACATCATTTGATGCAAAGGAACCAAATTTAGAAGTTTTTTTCTCTTAAATGCAGGATTTGAGTGGGTTGATCTCATTTTTATAATTCATGTTTAACAACTGAAAACTTATGAGTTTTTTTTCCGACACATGAACACAGCATCCATCAAGTTCAGCAATGTACATCTAATGTATTGTGTAATTTTCAAGAATTTTATACTTTTTAAACACAAAAAATATTTCTACAATAAGGAGAATTGAGCTGCAATGTAATACAAGACCGTCGTTATACAATTCTTTGTGGTTTATCCTAGATCAACATTCTCTTCAGCTATGTTTTCAAATCTTACAAGAAGCATAATACTGTTAGTGATCTTTGTTTTCAATGATTCTCCTAATGATAACGATTCATGAAATATGGTTGTTATATTGCATTGTTGTAAATTCGTCACTTGTCATCTCAGTTATTGATAACAAAAGAATTTATTATTTACACTAAATTTTCATTAGAATAGTTTTGGATTGTATTATAAATTACCTAAAATAAAGCATTATGCTGTTTTAAATTATCTGGAAGCAAAATTATGTCTAACTCACTTTTATGGTTATTTATATGATAACACTGACTATGCTATTTATATTTATATTTATAAACTTAGCATTAAAGGGTTATTAACGATAAAATCATTTTGATGTATAGTCATATTAGAATGTGTTAACAAGTGTAATTATATGAACTATTCCCATAAAGTATATTACTTATATATATATCCAAAAATGTGCTTCTGATTGCATATACATGAATATTTATTGCATAACAAAAAGAAATGATAGCAAGATGACATTTATTTGAATCATTTTATTATTTACTAAAACAACAGATTACTGTGTATCTGTAAACAAACTTAATCTCGCTAATAGGTATCTTCATGTCACTGTATTTTTAGCATTGGAAGATATATATATATATATATATATATATATATTTACTGTTATAATTTTAGTTCTCTCAACGATTTTCAATCTGTATCCTTTAGCGCTTGATTTCTTTAACTTACAAATGAACGATTAGTTATCATATGGGCTGTGTTTACCAATTAAGTCCAACCTTAAATACTAATCAATAACAACATGTTACGATATTTTCTATCTGTTAAAATTGACGTTTCTGTTAAAGAATAGTTCATTGTTCAATGATTTGTTTAACTACGAAACTTAAATTGGACAATTTCATTTCTTGTTAGGAATTTTTCTAGAAAACATTTCTATTTATCCTTTTTTTCCAAGCGTAATTTGCAGTAATTAAATTAATTAATACGAGAATAGTGAGCGCACATACGTCTATAAAAAGCACTCTGTCATAGCACTTACATCAAGGATCATATCATAATTTTAGAAATTAATATTTTCTCAAGAAGCTTCAAATGCTTTTCATTATTTTTTTAAAGTTGTCTGGTTTTTCAGACAGGTAGATTTTAATGGTGTCCTTTAAATTGAATGAGTCAACCTTTAAGTTTCGGCTGTTTTTTTTTCGAAACTGACTATGAAAACTTCGTGTTCGAAATATTGTGCTCAGAAAACGTAACTTCAACGAAATACACCTCTTAAACTAGAAATGCTATTAATAATTTTGAAATATACCTCAGCATGGTATTTGATACTATATTTTCAGGAATGCTTTATATTTTCAACAAACCTAAGATTATAACTGACAACATTTGCATTGTAACTAGCAGGGCATAACAGGACTAATACTTTCCTATACTTGAGGGACCTAGGTGAAATAAACTTTATGACATTGTTGATGTTCACACTGACACTCAAACTTAGTACCTTTCCCTTCAAACTCCAACTAATCTGTGAAACAGGTACGAAGTAAATTATAAGGGTTTTTTATTTCTAGTTGTTGGTTTTCAGGACTAAGTCCGTGTAACTTCTGTAAACATACTATGAACTTGTAAGTATAAGGCTCAGTATATACATCATCAGACTGTGCAACAAGATGATAACTACAAAAGACTGACGGTAGTTTTCAAACGTTCTGTAATGCAAATTGCTTCAAGCTAAACAAATTAGTTTATAACAGTTGAAAGTATTAGTCGATCTAAGCTAGACCACCACTAAAAACTTGAAAGGACTGTTTATTTTTTCCACTCATTTTACACTCCTTTAAATTCATATTCTGTTTGTTTTAAATTTACCTTTAACACAGACATTTCGGTTATGCGTTTACGACTCAATTTCAGTTGATGACATTATTAAAGGAATTGATAATTTTATGCAAGATTCATTTGTTATGCCACTTTCACGTCATTATAATGCTAATGCTCTAGCTGGAATGACACGTCAAATTGAAGCATATAGAAAAGAAACAGTTTGTGAAAGAGATGGTGATCGACGACCAAAAGGTATGAATAATTTATAAATCATTTTATAATATTTTCACACTATTCATGAAGTTAAATAATCGTTAATGTTGTCTAAATAACTGATATATAATTCATCATTATGAAGATTTATAAGATGAATCAACAGTAATTATACTGTTATTTTATTCGAGTAAAACTAATTAGCTTACGTGTTTATTTAGTGTATTTGTAATAATAATTAACTTGTATGATCATTTTTTTACTTAATAGAAAGTTAATTTACATCACAAACTGACTTAAGCTACATAACTATTAACAATCAAGAAACATTGAGCAGTTGTTTAGCATGTGTTTTGAATTCATCATCTGGGTTGACCCACAGGTTTGTTTGATCTCTTGGTGAAATCTGTGCCCAGTGATCTAAATGTAGTGTTCTTTCCTTGAAAACTGATGGTTTTATATTAGATTCCTGGCAATGTTACGAGTACGTACTGATGTGGAGTCAAAAACTAGGACGATCTGTTGAATGATGCATAATCTTCAATAGTCGTCTAGCTAATGTCATTGTGGTATGTAAGCTAACTTGGTCAGTTTTTATTAGCCATTAGCTGAAGGTTTTCTTAGGCATTAGGACAAGCAGAATACTACATATATATGGAGAAATACAGACAAAGATATTGGTCAAAATAAACCGATTTTCTCTGATGGTTTACTCTCTGTGAGCTAAGTGATAGAAATTCTAAATTTCATTTAGATTAATAATCTTCAAATCTGTTGATAATTGTTTTAAGTGTGTATTTAGACTCCAAGAGATATCAACGTTTTCTTACTATGTTCATTCAGAAAACTGAAATTCTGATGTCGCACCGATGAGATAAATTTTGTTGTCTACTCAACTTGATTAAAATGAAGTCTTATGAGATGCAAAATCTACTGACTGCTTTAGAATAACCACATTGGAAACATTCATTAGAATCCTTTTGTAGACAGTCAGTTAAAAAGAAACGAAACCATGTTCTGAATATCATTTACTGACTTTATTGAGATTTTCACTGATAGTTCTTAAGAAAATCATAAATTCTATACTTTGTAAGCTAAAAATTATGATCAAGAACTACAATGGAAAATATCAACAATCATTGGCAGTGAGTTCAAAGTGATCATGAGTCTTCCTAAAATAAAAAAGAGAAAGAAAAGTGGGAAATCAAAGATATAATTTACCATGATAGTTATAGCTAATTTGAATTTCTTTGAATTTTAGTAAGTAAATTTCATTTTCAAAGTCACTCAAATGTAAAATCCGGATGAAATTAGAAATAAAATCTTTTTTTTAAAAAAAAAGGGAATTTTCATTTGTACAGTAAATGTTCATATCAACAAAAAAAAATGTTTCGAGTGTGAATGAATAATTTCGGAAAATTGTCGTCAAAGAATTGAACAACAGACAAAACTTATTTTGACTTACAATTCAGACTTTCAAATAAGAATTAATATGTCCATATTTACATATCCTTTACGTTGATATATTATTCTTACTATGGTGAAAATAGAATACGAACAAATTTAGATAGACTACATTAAAACATGTTCATCAAGTTATTACCTTTTGATTGACCACCAAACTAATCGTAACACCCAATTGAGTAACTTAACTTTTTTATAGATCTCCTTATTCTGACGATTATATCATTCAGTTTTTTTTCTTGTACTTTAGTTTCATTTGTTTTCTTATGATTTTTCACTTCTTAAGTTTAATATCTCTTTTTTTAATATTAACTTTGTTTTCTTTTTCTGCTACTACTAATTTTTGCTTACTGTGCTGTAACTTGTCGCCAAATAGATCGATAAATACTATGCGAGTTACAGTAAAAATTAACGTTTGATGCATGCTGGAATGTTGTTTATATTGTTTATTCTGAACAGTATTACTCCTTGTTATTTGATTAGTATTTTTTTCTATTCAAATGCTTATTATTTCTATATCAACGTTATGTATCAAAGCATAGAAATTTGTTCATACAGTAAACAATGCTGTTAAATTTTCAATAATGTAATAGTTTTACATTATCTTTATATTTGTTAAATGAGATCAGTAAATCTAAAAGGAAGAAAAATGATATATTTATATCATGGATTATTTTCAGCCACTTACAGCCTCAAAACGATAAATATTGTTTTGAAAATACAGATATACATACTTTATGTCATGCTGACAGGAAAGTATTCGTGAGGATTGTTAGTTAGTATTAAATTAACAAATATAGAAGAATTCAAAGATTCTTCGGATCTTCTTATTGTTAATGTCAAAGTCTGCAGTTGTTCATTTTCTCTTGCCATACATATATTCTGTCTGAATTGCCTTGGTAATAGCATTGGTTTGCAAGCATTCTAAACAGAGTCAAATAAGGTCTAGCAATAGAAATCCCTGTTGTATAAATTAGCGACTAACTGAACTTAGTAGCTAGGTGAATAATGCCTTAAGCGTTTGAAACAATAGATCTTAGGTCTCATTTCCGATTCAAACATCAGGACTGAGGTGCCAGTACATTCAATTGACGAGTTTCAATAGGAAGAAATAAACGTCCTGGATTCTATCATTAGCCACTATCCAACTCTGTCCAAATTGTTTATTTCAGTGATTATGTACAGATTAACTGTATAAAAAGTTTAAAAGAGAAAATTCATAGAAGCTTAATGACAGGTTTATAGTCAAAGAAAATTAGTGTCATGAGGTATATGGCATCAACCACAAAAGAGAATAATTAATAAGATTGAGTGAAACAAGCTCAGCGAAAAAAGAAAGGAAAAATATTATGAATGACAGAAGAAAATAAAATATTATACATTTTATTATTGACCTTGATCTTGTTGCCTGTTAAATATAATTTACTTAAGACTATTTATTTTCTTCCTTTATATTCTTTTCCTCTTACTTGCTGACTTTCTAATCTTTATTCACTTAAGCTCGCTGAGCAGTTTTTTTGTACTAAATATTGTTCTATGCGTGACATTAATTGTCCATATTAGAAACCTATTGTTTTTATATCCTTCTGACTTTTTGTTTCTAGAATATTACACCTAGATTTAACAAATGAATGATAGGGAATATTCAAATTTCTTGAGATTAGTTTATATTTTATGCTTTACTACCGATCTATTTCTTTTACATCTCCAACGTTGATCAAAATGTATCTGTAAACATAATCTAAAGTCTTTAAATTTATCTTCAACAAACGATACTACTATATTTAGTTTGTAACGAGCTAAAGATAATCTGCAAGTCAAATGAATGTCATGCAGTGAAATTTTATGATTTACTGTGTGAATTTCTGATTGTTCACGTTTAAAAAAAGAATGTTTAATTGATAGATGCTATCCAATTGTATGATATAAATAAGAAATAGAAACTCATGAAATCTAATTATTGACTTGAGATACTTCTCATTCAATTGAAACAGTAACGAGAAATAAGACAACTATCCAGTAGATTAGACTTTTTTCTGCCGGCACACAACATATCAAACAAGAAAATAAATATAATTAGAATTTGTTAATAAATAAACGATTGGAAAATTTGGCGATTATAAACGGTTCATACTTCAATGCAATTAATACTTGACTATCAAGCTTAATTCTAACACAATCTTATCAGTGGATTAGTATTCGTTGCCTGCAATTGATTGTTTTTGCTATTGTAATATTTATAAAGCAGTGAGAGTAGAAGTTGATGGATTATGGAAAGCAGTATCTGACTAATTATTATGTGTAATCGGATCATATGAAGTGGGTTTTTATTAAATTTTATATTAAAAACTTACATTTTATATGAACACAATGGAATAAATAAACTTATCGATTGAAAGAATTTCCTTTTTTTTCTCCTAGCTCTTGTATTCTTTTTCCCTTTTATTACATCCATTTGTTTTTAGATAAACGAAGAATGTGATAATGATTAACTAATTTATTATCATATTATTTGGAAATTTCATATTTGTTTACCTCGTTTATATTTTCTATACACTTCTATGCATCCTATATATATATCTATATATTGACTGTATTCATTGTTCATTATCTCTATTTGATAATCTACATTTCACCTTTGTGTAAACTTTTACTCGGTTGTACCTTCATATTTCCGTATATATATATATATATATATATCCTTTCGATTTTCAAATTTCTTTTGAAATTTAGAAAATATATTTGAAAAAAAAGAACAATAAATCTATATGTACAATTATCAATACTGATTTATTTATTTGTTTGTTTTTGTCTTGATTACATGAAATAAATTTCTTGTTATAATCAACAATGCATTTTTCATGTTTCGAAATAATCTATGGGAGATATTCAGAAACATAAAAATAAATGTTATAAATTTATGTAAAATTTCCTCATTTCCCTCCCCCTCCCCCAAAAAAAGTATATTCCCTTTAAGTAAAACTGATTGATTATTGATAAAAGTGATATTACGATAAATTAGATGAAATTCAGTCAGATAGGTAACATTGATGATATTTCATCACCAATGAAAGTTAATTGTAGATTAAAAGTTGGAAATATGAAAAAAAAAATTTTGATTTGGGAAACCAGTAGTTTAAATGTTATGTGCTTGATAAAATATACAAAAATCCCGGTTTCCGGAATCGCCAGAGCTATAGGTGAATTAAACTAGGATAAAATAGTTACCAGGTCCTATTTGATGAGACTCAATGATTCAACAATTGGTGCTAATCTAATGGTATCTGATTTTGTGTCCAGTTAGAATTCCTGTTTATTTAGCTATTATTACATAATTAGATTGAATAAAATATTATTATACAGTTAAGTAATGAAATGTTGATGTAAATAGTCAAGTAGTATTCCAAGTAAAAATATTCATTCCTCCTTTAAACTGATTAACTTTTGTTAAAACTCATCAACAAAATATATATCACCAAAATTAATGATTATTAGTCAGCTACCATTATATACATTATGGCAACTAATTTTTCTCAAAGCAAATAAAATAACGTTTTATTCTGATCGAATTAATCATTAATATTAAAAAATTTAATTTCCAGCATGAAACCTAACTTTCTTGTATACAGGTTCATTTACAGTGAGAAAGTTGACTGAACAATCACAAAACAATTTAGTCAATGGTTCATATGTTCCATCTTCACTTAATTTGAAACAACAAGCTGATAATATCATTAAACAAGATAGTGATAAACTACCTGTTCCAACAAATGAAACTGATACACCTAAAATATCTAAACGAAAAATATTTTTACGGGATTTTTGTCCACCATTTATTGAATTATCACGTGGAATTCGACCATGGATAAAACGAATGCCAGGTGATTATAAAGATGCAGTAAGAAAAGAAAATTTAAGTATTGTTTTTGGCAGTGTCCTATTTATCTACTTTGTCAATCTTTCACCGTCTATTACATTTGCTGCATTATTAAGTAAGTTTGACTATTGAATAATCGTAACTTTATTTCATTTAATTTATTTCATAAATAAACTTTTTTGCATCTATTACATGTTTAAATGAATAAGTTATTTATAAGTTTAAATAATGCGGCAATTAATGTAAACAGGTTGAAAAACTCCTGATAGGAACATTTTCCAAAAGCCTAGAAATCATAAGATTGTGCGATTACCAAATGTAAGAGAAAAGAAAGAAAGAAATAAAACACCCAATCTATTTCATGTTATGTAATATGCTAATACAGTCCATTCCTTCGATAATTTGCACCCCTGGTAAAGGGTTATGCTTTAATTGACACCGCAACGTTGACAAGAGTTTGAAGTAATTTTACTGTCTAAATAAAACGGAAAATGAATGATCCTGTATAAATTATTTGTTATTAAGGCTGTTGTATCTTATTCACCAAACATTGAAAACATTTAAAAATTTCAAAGGCTAGACAATATAAATGTATATATGACATTGTTTTGACTCCGTTTTACACTTGAAAGTGAAATATTCAAGTTTATTTGTTACATAGTTTTTGAGTTTATTAAACGCATTTCCGAAAAATACAGAACATCGGATGTTATTATGTTGATAAAATTTAAATAATGGTTCTTTTTTTCACAGTGTTACAGTGTAAATATAACAAATATAAATAAACTACCACGGTTATTATCACTGTAGTGAACAGGATATATGTTACTCCAATTTCTAATATACTTCAACGATAATACTATCAACTTCAGTGATGTAGCACTGCCATATATATGTAAATGTTAGTTAAAGATTAATAATACTAATTATAACGTGCATATGTATATGTTTCTGTGTTTTCGATTATTATTTCCCGAATTTTACTAATAAAGTTAAACTACGAAAAAAGACTAAGAGTTGAGGACGTGATGTCAGGTGACAACTGAGTGTATTTCAACTTAAACACATAAAAATATCTCTGCGATTTTCATGACGAAATGCTGTCCGCTATATTTTCATAAAATTAACTATTCTTAGTGTTGTTAATTGCTTTTGGTATCAAACCAATGACTAACTTACTTTTCTGCATTTTACTAAATTTATGGTTAGCTAATATTGTACTACTTTAAGAGCGTATACGCATTTCAATTATTTTATGGTTTGTTGCTTTCAAAAGAATTTTCTTGTAAATGTTATAAACTCAAAGTGTTATGATATTGATTTATTGTTCATAATCAAAGAGTTGTTATCACTTGAGACCACCTTACAATAAAAAAAATCCCCTATATTTGATCTTAGTAAAAGCTTAAGAAAAGCCGCAATAGTTTAAAGTTAGAATATTCCATATTGTCTTGTTCTTTAAGTTATCCTTTGATGATAAGATTCTCCTATTTATATACCTAGCATAAGTTTAGCTAGCAGTAATTATGCGCATTTTGTAAGGCGTTTATCTAGGTTTTCAGATATCAGGGTTTACATAAAACCTTAGTCGCTGTTTAAGAAACCATCTGTCAGTTTAACATCAAAAAGAAATTTCGCTAGCTGTAATTGCTTTATAGTCTGAAAACGCAACTAGTTTGAAATAAAATTCCGAGGAAACTGGTAACACATCAAGAATACGTTATATTCTGTTGTTCTACTTGAAAGAATTCAATAAATCTTCACTTCTTTGAAATCCACTTTGAGTATTATGAAATGATCAATATTAAAAGGCTTGAATAGCCAAGTAGTAGACAGTGTGTCTTAGTTACTGGACGGCGTTGTTGCAAATATCTTGAATATGCAAACGTTCCCATAATATTACAGATACCCTCTCCTTGTTGATGCTAACCAGCTTGAGAAGTTTGATACTTTCCGTTGACAGGTTATAACTATCTAATAGGTTTGATGAGAAAAGTCCACAAATATCAGCTTCGGTTTTACCTCGGTTTGATAACTGAAATATTGGTTCACCTTTTTTTCAAAAAATATCCACTTATATTTTATGTTGCAAATTATTTTAATTCTTAATAGAATCAATTTCATATGACGTCATTTAATTTGTTACACTAAATTTGCTAACCGATAACAAAACAAAACAAACCTCTCACTTAGCTATATAAAATATGAAATTAGGCTAGAGGATATTTACTTAAACCTCATGTCTTATTATCATTTAATAGTTAAAGTGATAAACAAATGCTTAAAACATCTGTTTTGTTGAAAGATATCACTTTTCTTATTCTACATCACTAGGTTTTGCATTTCTTACAACCAGATAGAGCAATCTGCTTTTAATTAACACCTTGTATTAGTTTCATTATCAACATTTAGGTTTAGTATAAAAATAATTTACCTATGGAAGATTTCATATAACAATGTATAGGTTAATTAAATTCATTTGAATTGTTTCAAATGAAAAATAAAATACTATAGTATAATATAGATATTTAGACCATATTACTACAATTATTATTATTATTATTATTATTATTATTATTATTATTATTAGAAGCTTTATTCAACATTATACTTTTGGTACAACATAGAATTCTCAGCATAAAGTATTTCAACAAGTTTCTTTTTCTTATATCTTGATCGATTGTGACGATAAATTTCGAATGATGACCAGTTAGATGTTAGGAATTCGGTAATCCACATTTGATTAATGTTCATTCGTTTCATTGCATATTGCCAGCCACCATGATGTCGCTGATTGTACCTTTCTGTATCCCGTATAGCGAAAGGTTGTAAACTTTTCATAAACGCGCCCGAATAGATTGTGAGCGCAATAGACATATTGATGTGCTAAAACAAACAACAAAACAGATAACTTGAAGAAATATCTAGATCGAAGGAACAGGTAGCCCAGATATTCAAGCAGGCCGCCGGATCAATCAATGTTTTAAATATTAGCACAGTTACTGGTGAAAATAATGCTTTAATATATATTTAAAGGGTTCAAGGTTAACGAATAATTCACCAAAATTACGGTAATTTGTTAATTCTAATTGTTTGATGACATCTTTTGGACTGATTACTTCAAACATTTAGTTTTAATTGAAATGATACAATAATTATTCAACACGGTTAATCTATCTGGAAGGGCAGTTATTTGGGAATAAAAAAAACTTGATGCAGCTAAATACCAAACCACATATAAAGAAGCACCTTCAAATTCTTTTCATATTCATGTGATAACATTAGGTTTTGATTCCTTATTAAATCAAATACAGTTATAGGGCTTTGAACAACTTATGGTTCGAAAATATATCAAGATAAAAGGTTAAATAAATTACTTTTTGTATATGATTACTGCCACCATTAATAAATATAATATACCTTAACATTGCATAGCTATAAATTAAGAAATTTATAACATTAGATCTCTTTGTTAAAGTACTTTGTTGTTTTTTTATCGTAAAAAAACCGTTGTAAATTTGATAACAATCTTTGTTCAATAAGATATTGATGTGATTACTATGGTTTCTTACCAGCCTGACTAATATTAACATTTAAAGGAATTAAGCCTTTCGACAATAAGTATTAATAAATCTAATAGAAGATATCAAACATATGCAATGAGAAATACTAAAATATTAGCATTGATTACTTCCCATCAATAATGGTTAATTAATATTAGATTAATATCAGATGGGTTTTTGTGGAGATTGTAGTAATTTCAATGGTTAAGATCATGAGTCAGTTGAAGCTAGACCACCACGGAGAACCTGGAAACACTGGACGGCCGTTTCGTCCTATTGTGGGACCCCTCAGCAGTGCGCATCCACGACCTCGCCCCCTGCGAGATTCGAATCCAGGACCTACTGGTTTCGCGCGCGAACACTTGACCACTAGACTACTGAGCCGGCATCCAACGGTGTTAATGTCTAACTTCAACTAATCCACGAAATTGAGCGACACATTCACCATTGTCTTCAGTCAGTTACTATCTCACAACAGACCCGGTTGAACTCCACTGGTCACTACTTCTCACTAGAACTCCGGGATATACCGGCTCAGTGTTCTAGTGGTTAAGTGCTCGCGCGCAAAACCAGTAGGTCCTGGATTCGAATCTCGCAGGGGGCGAGGTCGTGGATGCGCACTGCTGAGGGGTCCCACAATAGGACGAAACGGCCGTCCAGTGTTTTCAGGTTCTCCGTGGTGGTCTAGCTTCAACTGACTCATGATCTTAACCATTGAGATTAATAGCAGGTTGTCGAAAACTAATTTCAGAAAGCTTAATATGATTTAGATTCAAAGTAAAACCTTTCTATAAACTTTAAACCACTGATTTTCATCAATAAAATGAATATATTCTAGTTACTCACCTACTTATGCCTGTTACTCCTAATGGAGAATAAGCTACCGACCAGCATTTTCCAATCTACTCTGTCCTGAGCCTTCCTTTCCATTTCTATCTCATTGTTATTCATTTTTCTCATGTCTGTCTCTATTTCTCGAAGTAAATTGTTTTTCGGTCTTCCTCTTCTCCTTTGGACTTTAGGATTCCATGTAAGGGCTTGCCTTGTAATGCATTCAAGTGCTTTCCTCAATGTGTGTCCTATCCGCTTCCAGCGCTTCTTCCTGTTTTCTTCCTCCACTGGAACCTGGTTTGTTCTCTCCCCCAATAGGTTGTTGCATATTTTAAGTTATAAGATGCTGAGGCGAGACTCTAATTTATGGACGAGCCAATCAGAGGCGTTTTAGAGATTTCAAGGTTACGGCGCCAACTTCAGTGCCTAATGCTAACGTACGTTCGGTTCACAGGGATTTTTGTACAAAAAGTGATAATTGAGCGACTATAACGAATAAAACGGCGAGACTATAATTTCTGAACGAATCAATCAGGTATAAGATCATGGATTCTAACGCGAAATCCTTTCGTCCATCTGGCTAAATAAATTTGTGGCATTATAGCTGATGTCAGTTCGTGGTGAAAACCCCATATATAATTCTTAACTAAGGCAAATTACGACAATTATCACGGACTGGATAATAAAAGCACCAGTAACACTGGCTGCAGCCAGGTGCTACAATATATACGGATGTTTGGAGAGCGTACAGGCTAATAGATAGGCTTGGTTATGTGCATCGTGTCGTTATCCACAGGTGGCATTTTGTGCACTGAACAACTGGAGTGCACATAAACGATATTGAAGCTATGTGGTCGAGGATGAAAGAGTCTTTGAGACTTTATCACGGCTCCAGAGGCCGACTATTCTGTAGCCGTATGGATGATTTCCTCTACTGCATGCATTACGATTTTAGAACCTCTGAACCTCTTTCTAACCTTAACAAGTTTTTTGAACCATGTATAAGAAATGTATCCACTTTATATCCTTGGTTTTGTATAAAATATTTTTATTTTATACTGACTGTTTGCTGATTGGCTAATATTTCTCAAGGTTGCTTAAGACTCATTCAAAGGTCGTCCATAAATTGGAATCTCGCCGATGCTGACAATAGCTTAACGTGTTTTGAAAAAAGAAAGAAATTAATCTATATTAACATGTGACAGTAACAACTATTAGACTATAGGCACGAACTGGAGAATAGTTTTATACTTACTTTTTTGGGAAAAAAAAAACTACATTTCAATAGTTTCTATACTGTTCGATATGTTCATTAATTTTTGTACCCATTTCGATCAAAATTTTATATTATTCTTTCTTTTTTTAAAAAAAAATTTCCTGTAAACGTGTTTACTTTCTGAATTCCTATTTTTGGCCACAATAAAATTCGTTTTCTTTACTCATAGCATAGTTCTAAATTATTTTTATTTCCTGTAGCCAAATAAAAAAAAACTAAAAAAAACGGACAGACATAGAATGAAAATTATTAGAAAAAACAAACACAAAGACAAAAACCCTTTGAAGTTAATATAAATGTAGACTAGAATATATTATAAAAAAAAAACAAAAAACAAACGAAGAGTTCTAAATTCTGTTTATATCTGAATTACATTCAATTATGAAATAAGGAAAAATTGACTAACTATAAAATTATATAACTAGTGAATAGGTTATTCAACTGAGGCTTTAATCAATAATAACTTTATTGAAGATCAATTTGTTAACTGAATTGGATAATCATAATCTAATAGAAGAAATTGAATTGCATTGGATAATAATCATATAAACTTAACATTTAAAATTATATAACACAGTTTTATAATCAGAAATGTAATTGAAACGAGGTTATTCAATCAGTAGCTAACTTACAAATTTATCAAAACAATAACACAATTCATATGAATGAAGAATATTCTTTTCAATGAATTTCTCATCAGGTTCTACAATTATCTCATATCCAAATTAATAATCCATAAAATTGGCCAGATTTAAGACAGAGTACATCACTTGGAAATTGTAATATATAAATTGAGAATTGTTGTTTGTCATATAAAATCAAATCAGATCGTTAATGTTGGGATTGAATAATATAAAGTGTTCACTTGAATCAGTTTATAAGTGAAATGAAATTGTGAGATAAATGATCAGAATAGATATGGTCAACATGGAACTTAAGTTAAGTAGATCAATTCAATGTACTTTTAGGGCGGGTAAACTGCAACTAATATTCTCCACACGACCAATAATCTCTACGAGGTTGAAAGATAAATTACCTAGAATAGCCACCTTCTTCTGTATCTATCAATTCAGCTGCTCCTGTGAAGAAAGTTATATTGACAGATGTTCTAGGAATTTGTACATTCGAGCTCGCGAGCACCTCCCCGTGTGGTTAAGTAAAGGTGCAGTCAAAACTGTTAACAGCTCCATCTTACACCATCTAGTTCAAATAGGACATACAGCCAACATAGAGCAATCTTTTGCAATAATCTATCGTGATAACAGGAGTCTACCTAATTCTATCAGACTGCGAATCCTACAGACGGCTGAAGCAATTGCTATTCGGATCAAAATGTCAGAGCTTTACATCCAGAGAAGTATGTTCAGCCACTCCTTTTACCCTGGCCAACTTTGTGGTCGACTAGTTAATAAATAATTTTATAATATGGTGACGTAATCTGATTAATGTTCATTTTATGTCCCAAACTTATTATTATTGCTATTGTAATTATTATTGTTATTATTATTATTATTATCTTCATACTTGATAACCTTTTGACGACTTTATTCAATATCCATCCCTATATCTACTATATCTGACCTAATTCATATTATTCTACATATTACGTAATTTCCGATTTGTTATCACAATATTCTCTCTCTCTCTCTCTCTTACCCCATATTGACCATATCTATTCTGATCATTTATCTTACAATTACATTTCGCTTATAAACTGATTCAAGTTAACACTTCATATTAGTCAGCCCCAACATTAACGATTTTATTTTATATAACAAACAATTCCTGATTCACATATTACAATTTCCAAATGATGATGTACTCTGCCTTAAATCTGGCCAATCTTATGGATTATTAATTTGGATATGAGAGAATTGTAGAACCTGATGAGAAATTCATTGTAAAGAATATTCTTTGTTCATATAAACTGTGTTTTAATATAATGGGAATTTTTCAGCAAACAATAACAATAAATATTTAGTCTGAAAATGATATCTAACGGAGAATTTCGTTTCACTGAAATTATTCGATGTACCCTAGTGATTAGTAACTATTATTGCGAAATTAAGGCTTTGTATACCCAAATAATTGTGTTCAGCTACAAAATAAATTGAATTATTCTATTGGCCGTATTACCATTTGACCAACAGAACTTGATCATTCTTAAATATTTCAAACTTCCTTAAATTATTATTTTAGCAAAGAAAAGCAAGTGATAAATATAATAATATCCAAAAACAATCATTTTAATCGGTACAAGATCGGTTATTTTAATGATGGCGAATTGAAATGTGTAATTTTCTTATATAATCGAGATTGTTTAAGCCTAATATTTTAGATTGAGTTATTAGTCACTGCTTTCTTTTGCTCTACAGTGAGCAATGAACTAAAGGTTGACTTATGGAAATACTATGATTTACGGTAACCAGATTTTATTCAAATGTAATTTAGAATCGCTTCAAGTTAGTTGTCGTAATTCAGTGTGTTTAAGGCTGGCAAAAGTTGATCTTAATAGAATTTTTTTTCTATTTTATTCTAAGATGTTAGTATAGTCTTTTAGATCATATTACTATTACATTTATTTCGTTTATGTTAAAGTATTTAACTGTGGGTCTAATCCATTCCACTTGTTTGTGAATTAATACAGTATCGATTGTTAGAGTTAACCTCTCAAATAATGGCTACCAATTAAATTAAATAAATAGTAAACAATGTAAATGGACTGATTTCTTTTTTTTTAATTTAATTAAATTTATCATTGTTTTATATTAACCTTTTTTATTACAGATACACAAGTGGATCCTTCCTACACTGTGACGTTAACTCTTTTAGCAGTTGGAGTGTTTTTGATTATTTTCACTATTTTATCTGGCCAACCACTTGCAATTATTGGTATCTCTGCTCCTATGTACATTGTTGAATCTTCTTTAGTGTCGGTAAGTATTATCAGTGTTTCACTTTTAAAATGTATTACAAAAACTTTGTTTTTACTTTCATTGTGTATATAAAAAACAGTTGATTACAAATTACATTTTAATTCTAGGATTTAGGTAATTTATTTTCTAGATAATTATGACACTGTTTTGCTTACTTAAATGCAAATTTCTCATTGTGGTACATGCCCGTGCAACATTTAGCCTTTAACCGTTTTGCCTCCAACCTGAAGATACCTTATGTGCTGAGAGAATTTAAGGATAAATATGTAGGAGGACTTGTATGAGAAAAGAACAAGAGAAAAAGTGAACCGACAACTCAATAAGCACGTAATATGTACCTGCATTTTTTAATGAAAGCAATCGACATCAGTTGAAAATAACACAAGCGTGAAATCAAAAGAATCAAATAATTGGAGTTACAAATTGATAACGTAGGGTTTCGAATCTCTTTTATGTGATCTGTCCGAATAATGTATAAAATGAGCTGGCAAGATCGTTGTTTATGGGAACGATTGAATTAAAAGTCAACTTTACTGTTCTTGAATGTCCGTCACTTAAATCAGTTTATTCTTTTTACCCTATTTTTCATCAGCTTCTGTTTAGTAAAAAGATTTAATATCGTCATAAATACAGTTTTCACATGAGCGAATGACATTGCACATGATTATACACAAAATTCTGGGTCTTAGCCTGACCACTACTTCAAACTGCTGTCAACAAATTTAGATATTGGTGATTTCTTTTCGCTTCCGAAATGTTAAATAGTCATGTAGGTAAAATAAAATCTGAAAATATAAAGCAGCTTTACAGTCGAGTTCTTAGGAATTTCGAGGTTGCTTTGAACAAAATTAATAGACGTGGAACAAGTACCTTGTTAAAAATAGAGAGTAGCTATTTCATACATTCGTAAAACAGTATGTTTATTTTTGTTATCTGTAATTCGCATCAAGTATTAACACATGTAGAGAAAAGAATACACAGTCGTAAGGCAGTCGATAATAGACAATTTGTACCGTTGTAACTATCAGTTTTAGGCCCATTCACTCACAGACTTTAATGTTATTTGAACTTCCAGATCTAATTGTGTTAAATGTCATTATCCAACTACATAATCTAAGTTTAAAAGTCCTATTCTTAATAATTTGTGATAAGAAAATTAAAATATAAATTTCATAGCAGACGATTATCCATCTATTGCTAAAGAGTAAAACACATATCATTTTTCTATGTATGCATAATTTTTTCCCTTTTATTAGCCTTGTATATATTCAGCTGTCAACAACCTTCCTATCAACATTGTTCTACATTTTACAGCTGTATAGCTTGGTTTGCACGATACATGTGAATAGGTTTTTTATAGCTGTTCACGATTATATGATTTATTAGTTATTAGTTAGTTTCATGTATATTTTGATTATTTCACACATCTGGTCTCTATTGATAATTATAAAGGAAGTAAAAGCTATAAGATTAAAACAATAACATTTCTACCATGATTATTAATAGTCATAACCTCACCTTGCCTATTTTAAATAACTAAATATTCTGAATAAATATATCAGTCAGTCAGTTAACCATTGGCTAAATTGAACCTGGTACATATGCGTATTGGTTCAAGTTCCTACATCACATCAGCACAGAGATTAAAAAAAATTATCAAGACAAACAGCAAAGTAGTAGAAGAATTAGCAGTAACGACAGTTGTAGAACAGATTAGTTATAGATAATATTATTTGATAAGAAAGAATGAAAATAAAGAGTAAAACGTATAAGGTGATTTCTAAAAAAAACTAGATCTGAAGGTAGGCAGTGTATGAATGCTTGTATGACAATGTAAGTCTCCGAACATTGATTACAGTAATTGTGTGGACCCTGATCGATTAATCTGAACCTCACTTCGATAACCGATGACTTCATGGACTGATGCGTAGTCTTCGTTCGGCTGCTTTAATCCATGACTTCTATATTCCTCGTTTTATTCATACAAACTGTTTATATTGTGTAAAATATTCATGTCAGACTCATTAATTAACTAAAATTTTCTTCCCATTGCTTGTTTCTTATCATACTTCTTCCACATAAATTTAGACGACTTAAAACAAATAAATCATAAAATCATTTTATTCCGAATATTCAATCATTACTCATTACTTTATTGAATATATGCTTTTTGCTAATTAATCATAAATTTTAATTACTAGGCCTAATAAATTTAGAGAGCCATGTTATCGCGAACTATAATGGATGGTTCATAATAATAATGCGGCACTGAGTTCAGACAAAGACGTATTGCAAAAATGTTCTACATTCTAATAAGAAAAATTTGGGAGGAAGAAGAAGAATCCACAGACTTGAAAATAGGATACCAAAGAAAAAATATTACATCAATTGTCGAAACTACATATGTCTAACAGCACTATTGGTATCAGGATACATTTTCAACAGGGTGTTGTTGAACCGAATGAAAGATTCAGTAAACGCCAAGCTTTCAGATCAACAGTTCGGATTCTGTAAGGATCCCGACCGTTGTTGCTACCATGACGTGGCGGTCGGGCTTGCCTATCGTGATGAAGCAACCGAGCTATACTGGCTGGAACAACCGTTCCTCAAGGTCCTACCATGTCAGACAGGTCGGTTGAAGAGTGGTAAGACTAAAAGCAACAAACCCAAGGTCCGAAGGCGAAGTCGTACTGCTGACTGTACAGAGGTGTGACAGCAGTAAGGTGTTTCCTTCAGACAACCAGGATGACAGCGATGCTGCCTTCCCACAAGGAGGAGTGGGGTTAGAAAAGGTCGACCCTAAAAATGCACACCTCGCCTTATTCCACGGATATCCGTCTCCGGCGGTAAGGTCTCAATAAGTACGGAGCTAACACAAAAATTACCCATAACAAGGTCGTGTGTGACCGACCTCAGGCAGTTGTCCCTTGGGCACTGCGGTCACGCTGTCAGTTCACTAAGACCACCTTTAATCCAATTTCCTTTTCAGGTACCTCCAGAACAACCCTTCCACGGTGTGGGCAACCGGGAAGTGATAACCGCCCTCATACTTCTAACAGCACTCAAGACCACTGTATTCATAATCAACCTCCCTCATCAATTCCTATTATTCCTCCTACATCGACTTTCAACTCTATATTTCCTCTCTCGGCTTCCACCTCAAGTGTCACCGTAGCCAACGATTCTAGTGCGCAAAACACTGTCCCAGGTCTACTGAAACCTCGCTCCAAACTACACATTTGAGCCTTCAACGTACGCACCCTGTCAAATCGGTCAGCAGGCTTCCTTGGCTAAAACCCTAGAGTCTCTTTCCATTGATGTATGCTGTGTCTCCGAAACACGCATACAGGATTCCAGTGTGGTCATTCACTTGACCTCACCTCGGCAAGACGGAGAGCCAACGAGATACACCCTTCGTGTGTCTGGTGACCCGATGGTAAGTTCTCGTGGACTGGCAGGTGTAGGCATAGCACTAAGCATGAGGGCCGAACAAGCACTGCTACAGTGGATCCCCGTCAACAGTCGTCTATGTGCTGTTCGGCTGAATGGCTACGTAAGAACTCGGAAGGATAGGGACACACGTCGTTGCCTTTTTGTCGTTTCTGCCAACGCTCAGACTGACTGCAGCCCGGAGGAAGTGAAAGATGAACGTTCAGATACAGTACTCGTAGCAGGTGACTTGTATGTCCAAGCAGGTAGCTTAAGCCAAACAGAAAGACATTTAGGCGGGTATCTTAGTATTGCGGCTCAGCAAATAGATAATGGTGATCGTCTGCTGCAGCTATGCTCAGACAATCGTTTATTTTTAGCAAACACAAATTTTAAGCATAAGGAGAGACATCGTCTAACATGGCGACCCCCTACACCAAACCAACGATGGACTCAAATAGACCATATTGCCATCAGTCATCGTTGGAGAGGGTCGGTAGAAGATTGTCGCTCATTCTGGAGTACCTGCTTGGACTCCGACCATGCCCTAATACGGGCACGCATCTGCTTGCGCCTCACTGGACGCAAAAAAGCCACATTAAAAAGACCCATTAGAACTGAGTTGAGTAACGAGAAAACCAAAAGTAGGTTCCAGGAACAACTGAGGTCACACTTAGGTAGTTGTGAAGACGAGGCTGACCCAGATGTTGCTTGGAAGGGCATACAATCAGCTGTGGAAACAGCAGTGACATCTATTAGTGACTTAAACCACAGAGTTACAAGGAACCAGTGGATTTCTTCAAGGTCTGTCACACTGATGGATTCTCGCAAACTCGTCCCATCAGGTTCTGAACATGATGAAGAGCGTAAACAAATCAGATCTAGGTTAAGAAAAAGTCTAAGGAACGACCGTGAGCAGTGGTGGGCAACGAAAGCAAAAGAGATGGAAAAGGCGGCGACTATAGGGAACACAAGACAGCTTTACAGACTAATAAAAGAAACTGGAATTAATAAGTCAAGTGTAAGTGAGATTATTTCGGAAAAAGATGATACTCTCATCTGCTCCCAGTCCAGACGTTTAGAACGATGGGCGGAACATTTTAGAGAACAGTTCAGCTGGCCTTCAGCTACTCTACAACTACCCTCCATTCCCAGACAGTGAATGGAACATTGAAGTAGGTCCCCCAACTCTTGCTGAAGTTCGAAAGGCTATAGTTAATCTGAAACGAGGAAGGGCAGCTGGTCCAGATGGATTGGCTCCAGAGGTCTTTAAGGATGGTGGTCCAATTTTAGCGATTAGGTTGACTAATATTTTAGCTAAGATCTGGGAGTTAGACGTTATCCCATCTGACTGGTCGCAATCACTTATCGTCCCAATATATAAGAAAGGGTCAAAATCATCCTGTGACAACCACAGAGGGATTAGTTTAACAAAATAGTATCTAAAATACTGGCCTCGATAATTATCAACGCCTAACTAAGACTCGTGAACTACAAACACGAGAGAACCAAGCTGGCTTTAGACCTGGTCGTGGCTGCATCGACCACATATTCACCATTCGTCAGGTTCT